TGACTACACCAGCCACCTGGGGGTGGGTGAGGAGAATGCAGCTTTTTTCCTTTAGGCTCCCTCCTAGCTCAGGCATCTGCTATCTCAGGCTTTGGCAGCAGTGTCTTCTGGAGTGAGACCAACATGCCAGGCCACCACCCTGCCCACTCTAGAAGTCCTGGGTGAAGGCAAGGCCCCAAGTAGTTGGAATAGTTACTCTTGCTGAAGAAACCAGTGATGAGAACTGGTGTTGGCTGCCTGGACAGTGTGCTCTGGTATGGTCTCTCTTCTTGGGGTCTGACAGAGTAGCACTGGCCACCACCTGACTTCCCACTTCCTTCTAGTAGACCCCAGACCCTAAGCAAGGGACTCTCCAGGCTTATTTTCTTTCCTTTCTCTAGCCAAGGTTATTCCTTCCTTCCCATTTGGGGGTGGGCACACTTCCCTGTGGTCTGGCATTTGCCATGACCAGGTGTGGGGCTCCAGCCCAGCCTGTTCCCCTCTCCCTCTACACAGCTCCATGTTCTATGACGAGGATGGGGATCTGGCTCACGAGTTCTATGAGGAGACAATCGTCACCAAGAACGGGCAGAAGCGGGCCAAGCTGAGGCGGGTGCATAAGAACCTGATTCCTCAGGTGAGGGGCTGGGCAGTGGTCATAGAGCCTGTGTTGAGTGTGTGGAGGTAGACCCAGAATGGGGTCTGCTGTCATTGTGGGGGCTCTTCTGGGAGGAGCTGGGAGGAATAGGAAGGCTTCCTGGATTAGGGGCCCTGAGCTGACCCTCACTAGCCTCTGTTTCCGTGGCAGGGCATCGTGAAGCTGGATCCCCCCCGCATCCACGTGGATTTTCCTGTGATCCTCTATGAGGTGTGAGCCTGGAGGGTGGCAGGCATAAGCACCCTCTGCCCCAGCAAGAAAACCCCAGGCTCAAGGTGTGGCTTCCACTGAGGAACCTAGGCTGGAGCCACAACCCTGAATAAACTCCACTGGCCTGGAATCTTCAGCTGTGAGCAGGGCAGTCCTGCAATGTTGGTCAGGTTTTGGTTTGTACGTGGACAAGAGGTGGCTGGTGGTTGGCGAGGGATAATGGCGGAGTTACCAGCCCACCTTCCCCAGCAATCTCTACAAGGAGCATGGCAGGGCATATACTGGTCAGGAATGTCTGGTTCCTGTGCCCTTGCCTGGCCTGCTTTCTTCCAAGCTTGCCTAGCGCCCAGCCCTGCTAGGAGCTACAGCACTTTACAAGCAAGGTCTGCCTTCTTCCAGCCCTTGGGCTGTGGGAGCGGTACACAAGTGGGAACTTCCTTTCCCTCACTTCCCTTACCCCCTTGTCGAAGCATTTCAGCCATTTGCTACCTCGATTCCTCCTGTGTTGGACAGAGGCTGGGGACAGCACAAGCCTGATTCTTCCTGCCCTCCTGGTCATCTGTTCCCACCCCCAGACAGATGGACAGTTTGCTGGCTGTTAATAGGAGCAGGGACTGGTGTGGAAGGCTTCTCCCTTCACCCAGGGCTGGGCTGGGCTGATCCCTCCCCACTGCAACTAGGTGTTGTCCCCCACCCCACCCCCGCTTGAGAGGGCATAAGATGGGATCAGGAAGGGCTATGGATCGCTATGCCTATGGGGAGTGGACTCAACCCACCTACTCTGCCTAATCCCCTTTGCCTTTGCACCAGCCCCACCATGACCCCCACTGGGAGGAGACCATCTACCACCCTGTGGTGAGGAAGAACACGCTAGGGCTGGTGCCAGTAGCTCTGAGGAGACCCATCACACCCTCCCCTATAGTATACCCATCCCTTCAGGATCACTCAAGGGAAAGTACTGGAGACCCTGGGTAGGGACAGAAAGGAAAGAACAACCATAAAAGGAATACTTAAAATGTGAAAGTTTGTAAATAGTCTATTCCATGATGTTATTGGGGCAGAGTCTGATTTCTACATAGAAATGACTTGTTTTTTTAAATTCCTTACTGTGCAAGCTCTGTGCTAAAAGATTGTGGGAAATGGCTTGGGGAGGGTGGCCCCCAATCTAGGAAGGCTGTTGTGTTTTTTGTTCAGTTTCAATAAAATTATTTGTAGACCCCAAGAGTGGCAGTCTCTGGAGCTGTGACACCCAGCCCACCACCTAGGCTCAGTAGGTAGGCCTGGGCCCAGGATTCTGGTGGCCCCATCTCCAGCAAGGCCCAGGGTAAGCTTGAGCCCAGCCTCCGGCCATCTCAGCTATGACCAGCAGGTGGCAGTGTATTCACACAGACCTCAGGATAGAGGGCCACTCACTGGTCTATTGTGTTCAATAGTTGGGGACCCCTGGAATTGGAAGGCTTTGGGATACTTCACTAGGGATTGGCCCCACCTGTCTGAGCTGAGGTGAGAATGTAACCTCAGATAGGTGTGGAACAGTTTGCCTGCCCCCAGCAGTGCTAGCTGACCCCATATGAGGTCACAGCCTGAGCCCCGTGGACCTCCCAGGCCCAGTCTTAGGTGGACAGCAGCCAGATGGGTGCCACCACACCCTTGGCCTACTGCCAGCCTCTGCAGCCCAAACCCATCTGCCTCCTCCCAGGGCTACCTGTGGACACCAGCAGGAGAGTGGGCTTGGAGCTTCTGTTCCAGCAGGCAAAGCTCAGCCACTCAATACTTCCTTCTGTTCCCTGTTGCCCTTGTCTTCTCACCTGCAGCCTGCCCTCTCTTGACTTCTAGCCTACACTTCTCAGGGCTCACTATGAGAATGGTTCTCTGCTGGGCCTAGCCCTTGGCCATCAGCCCAACTCCCAGTTAGGGAGGAGGGAGTTGAAGGACCCAGACTTCTGGGTCTGGTGAGTTGGCCTGCCAGTCTTTCGGAGGCTTAAACTTGTCAGGTCCAGAGCAGGATCATCCTGTGCAGCCTGGATTTGCAGTTCTTTGGGCACCTTTCCATTTTCCTGATAAGAGGCCAGGCGTAAGGCTCTGTCATCCTCCACTATCCCCCCCACTGACTGCCCCAGGGTCAGATGCCGTCCCATCTCCCATCTCCACTGTCCCAGTGTGAGGGAACTCCCTGTGCTGGGCCTGCCCCAGCTGACCCCAAAGCTGGAAACAATGGGGGTCAGGGCAGTGCTTCCCCACTCCCTCCCACTGGGCTGTGCTCACTTCCTTCCTGCTGGCTGCCTGAGGAAGTGTCCCTGCCCTGTGACAGTCTGGCCTGGCCTTTGTTTCCCCAGGGGCCCCCACCCTTAGAGCTTCTAAGGCCTGTGTGTCCCTTGTGGAGCCAGCACGGTGGTGCAGGGACACCACCCTCCCACACCATCTCCTGGACTCCTTGGTCGTCAGGGACATGTTCCAGGGTATGTCCCCACCTCCCCCAGTCCCCCAATTTAACAAAGCCTGTTAAGAGAGAGGCCCTGGGCATCAGGGAGGTGGCCCAGTAGGGTGAGGGGGTAGGCTCAGGGTGATTTGAGGATGTGCAGGTTTGTCTGCACCTCTGGAGGGGTCGGCTGGGACCCTGCTGCAGCCCTCCCTGGGGCCAGGTGCATTATGGGCACCCCCTTTCCTCACTCATGTTGTAAGGAGACCCCTGCTCTGCAGTGTCGGAGACATCCACCCAGGAACATCCTTCAGTAGGATAGCACCCTGCAGAACCCTTCTAGCCCCTGCGCCACCCCCCACCCTGCACAGTCACACACATTAACACATTGTCCACTCTGTCATACTTGGGACGTTTCCGCTCTTAGTGGAAAAAAATTGACTCAGCTCCTGGAAGTTCCCCCAGCCCCCCTCTAGGGCTGGTTCCCTTCACCACCTGCTTTGGGGGACCATCAGCTGAGCATCCCCCAAGTAGTTTGACTCCCCAAAGCACCACCACCGGAGCCCCTCCACTCACATGCTACTGGGTTTAAAGATGGGCCTCAATCCCAAGGGAAGGTTGGGGAGAAGAGCTTTCAGTATTAAGCTGACGGCATGGAGGAGGCTGGCACCTAAGCTGGGTCCCACAGCCTTCCTGTCACCTGGGGCAGTTTGCCAGGCCAGGGCCTACTCAGGGGAAGGGTGGGGAGGGCAGCCAGCCAGCAGGGCAAGCCAGCTGGAAACAGGGTCAAGGCAGTCCCCTCCCCCCCGTGCCTGTTCCTGGTCCTTTCCTCTTGGAGGGGCAGCAGGAAGTGAGGAGAAAGGGCTGGGGTGGGAGGCGGGAGCGGGTGGGAGGGGATGGGGTTTATCAAGTCGCCGGCGGGCTGCCCAGCGGGCAGCAGCTGGCGCGAGTAGCTTGGCTGGAGAGGCTCACCCCGGGAAGGAGGGAGGCCGGCGACTTACTGGACTGACAGACTCCCACACAGGTGAGCCCAGCACAGAGGACTGGTCTGCACTCCCACAAATGCGCTCCCAGCAGCGCTCCCTCCCTGGCGGTGCAGACAGACCTGGGCCCTTCGGGGAGCTAAACCCCACATGGGGGAGCAGATCTAGGAAGAGGCGAGGAGGTCTTGCTCCTGCCCAGCTCCAAGCCTGCACCCCAGCAGGAGGGGCTTGTGGGGTGAAAGGGCTCAGGATACCGGGTGGAGGTCCGAAGGAGCTGTCTTTTTCCGCTGTCCGGCCAGGAACTTCTGCAAGGTGGCAGCCTCCCAGAGTTGAAAGGTAGCCCTGGGGGCTCCCACAGGCCCCCCAGAGACTGAGCAGGAGGAGACCCGGGAGCCTAGGGATTGGCCTGTCCCTGATCCAGGTATCGGGCAAGGGGGCGCCCTACCCTCAGGCCTCGCTGGGCATACCGGCACCCTGCCCAGCTCGCCACGCTGCGATCCACAGCTCGTGTTGCCAGGACAACCACTCCCTCGCCCCAGCCAGGGGATGGCTGAGTCGGCTGCTCGGTCCCCCCTGCAATCTGGGAGGGGGCGGGGCTTCCCTGCAGTCCAGGGACGGGGGGAAGGGAGCCCTGATCCATAGGGGCCTGGGAATTACTGTCCCGGAAGGCCGGAGATCGGTTCTGGTCACCGTCCCCCTTTCCACACAAAGGGGCCCCAGGACTAAGGGCTACACTCGGGTGCAGAGCCAGATCCGCTGCTGCCCCCAGCCAAGGCCTTGGGGTCCCACAGCACCTCCTTATGGCCAGGCGGGGAAACGCCACCGCCTTTATTCCCTCCCTGACTCCCGTCCTTATGCTGTCCCTTTAAGCGGCTAGTCTCGCCGCGAATCCGGGAGGACTGTACCACCGGCCTCGGGCTGCGGGGGGGAAGAAAATCTCGGGCTGTCTGGTGTTCGCGGCTGGGAGTCCAGAAGGAAGCCCCTTTCGGAGGGGCCTCACGATCTTGGATGGGTGGCCACGTTCCTCGGCGGAGGACCTGGGGACCCTGGAGCCCGAAGCGCGGCACTGGCGGCGCGAAAGTCGGGGAAACCTTCCCGCCGCTGCCGCAAGTCCTGTCCCGAGCCCACCTCCGCGCTGGATTCTTAAGGGGCCCGCGGGCCGGGGGGCGGAGCCAGCAGAGGCGCCGAGCCGGGGCAGTCCCTGGGCGAAAGGCAGGAGCGTGCCGGGCTGGGCCGGGGATGGCGGTGGCCATGGCGCAGGTCCCGGCGGCGCCCCGCGCGAGGTGAGGGCGGGCAGTGCAAGCCTGACGGCTCTCTCTCCGTGGGCTAGGTTCTGAACTCCCGGGGATGCGCCCAGGGAGGCGGCCCAGAGGCCCCACCCCCCCACCCGGCCGGGCTCAGGCCCCACGTGTGGGGCGGGGGCGGAGTCCCGCACAAAGGCCCGGCGGAGTGAGCTCTACCCCGGACCCGCCGGGCGGGCGCGCGCATTCCCGGTGGCTGTGGAGGGAGTGAACCGTCTCCTGGCGCCGCCGTGGGAGGTCCGCTGCCCCTTTGTCCCCGCGGGGCCTCCATCAAACTTGGGAGAGTGTCTGCGCTGGCGACAAATTCCTGACAACTTCCCTCTTCTGCCGGGCGGGTGCTACACAGATACCAGCTCCGAGGCTATGTTCCAGATTCCTAGCCGCTGCATGAACTGTGCCTTGCCTTACTTAACCAAATGCTATCATTTCTCTGGACCAAGAGTTCTTCACGGGGTACAGAATGGGCTTCTGGTTCGCGGTTCTCCGAAACCATGTGCTGGGTGGTATACACGCATGTGTGTCTCTGGGCAGCGAGTCCACAGCTCAATTCGTCTGATTCTCAGAGAGGTCGCAGACCTAACAGGTCCTTGCCCAGGCGTAGGCCACCTTCTCCAGGAAGGAGCCTACGCTCCTGGCAGTGAGTTCCCAGGGTGTCTTGCCTGCCCCTCAGTGGCCTGTGGTCTCTCAGACTAGTTACAGCCACGTAATAGGGTCTGAACAGTCCTAGGCATGGTGCCCCACACAGCATGGGCTTTGGGAGTGCGGGTGGGTTTGGGGTGGGCACCTCCAGGATTCTCTAGACTGACTGGTTCTCTCTCACCCTTCCTGCAGTTCCTGAGCTGGTGCCAGGCAGGTGACACCGTCTGCCCGAAGCCCCCAGCATGTGGGCAGGCCCGGGCCCCGCCGTCACACTGGCCCTGGTGGTGGTGGTGGCATGGGCCACAGAGCTGAAGCCCACAGCGCCACCCATCTTCACGGGCCGGCCTTTTGTGGTAGCATGGGATGTGCCCACACAAGACTGTGGCCCACGCCTCAAGGTGCCCCTGGACCCAAAGAAGGACCTGACTGTGTTCGATGTGCAGGCCTCGCCTAATGAGGGTTTTGTGAACCAGAATATCACCATCTTCTACCGTGACCGGCTAGGCCTGTATCCACGCTTTGATTTGGCAGGGAGGTCTGTGCATGGTGGTGTGCCACAGAATGGCAGCCTCTGGGCACACCTGAAGATGCTGCGGGAACATGTGGAGCACTACATTCGTACAGAGGAGCCTGCAGGGCTGGCAGTCATTGACTGGGAGGACTGGCGGCCTGTGTGGGTTCGCAACTGGCAAGACAAGGACGTGTACCGCAGGTCATCACGCCAGTTAGTAGCCAGTTGCCATCCTGACTGGCCATCAGACCGTGTAGTCAAGCAGGCGCAATACGAGTTTGAGTTTGCTGCACGGCAGTTCATGCTGGAGACACTGCGCTTTGTCAAGGAAGTTCGGCCTCGGCACCTCTGGGGCTTCTACCTCTTCCCGGACTGTTATAACCACGATTATGTGCAGAACTGGGAGACCTATACAGGCCGCTGCCCTGATGTTGAGGTCTCCCGAAACGACCAGCTGGCCTGGCTGTGGGCCGAGAGTACGGCCCTCTTCCCCTCTGTCTACCTGCACGAGACACTCGCTTCCTCCACCCATGGCCGCAACTTTGTCAGCTTCCGTGTTCAGGAGGCCCTTCGAGTGGCTCACACCCACCACGCCAACTATGCACTCCCGGTCTATGTCTTCACACGGCCCACCTATAGCCGCAGGCTCACAGGGCTTAGCGAGGTATGTGCTTCTTAGGGCCCCTCAGGGAACCACTGCAGGTTTGGATTCCCAGGGAGCCTCTTGCCCCGTGGTTCACTGGCTGCTTTACATCAGCTCACCTCATTCTCTCTGGAACCTTGTGAAAGGGAGACATCATTATCTCCATTTTGCAAATGAGAAAATTGAGGCCCAGAGATTATGAGAAATTTGCCCAAAGCTTCCCAGCAAATCCAGGGCAGAGTAGGGACTTGGGCCTTCTGACTTTGGAGTCCACCCTGATAGATACATCCTAGGCTCAAGTGGGCCTTTGACTTGGGAAGCAGAGGCCCATAGTGGGGGTAGAAGTGGCTTAAATATTTAACGAGAAAGTCAAACAGCCTCCATCTAGGAGTGAAAAGGGAGGACTGGGCTGAGGGGACAGCAAGGTGCAACAGGTTGGGGCCTGCCCACCCTGTCTGCTCTTCTCACTCTGTGGTCTCAGTCTTCCCCAGTGACCATCCCCTTCCCACACAGATGGATCTCATCTCCACCATTGGGGAGAGTGCAGCCCTGGGTGCAGCCGGTGTTATCCTCTGGGGCGATGCAGGGTACACCACCAGCACGGTAAGTAAGACCCACCCAGCCTACTGGAGCTCAATCTGCAAGCACAGGCCGAGAGTGTAGGCTTTTGGCTCCCGACCTCAAGGTGGGCAAACCTAGTCTGGCCCCCTTATCTGTCTCCCATCCAAGTCATCCCTGATCCCAACAGGGCCCCTCCCCTGCCCCCAGGAAAGGGGACATGCTGTCCTGAACAGCTGTTGAGTTCCACCCTTCCCTGCCTGTCCTGCTGGGCTCCAAGATCTGCCCTCACTCCCTTCTCAGCAGGAACAGGCACAGTGAGGGCTCACGCACGCATGTGCATGTACACATGTGTGCACTGTTAAAAGAAGGTATGGTCACCGCAGTGTGGACAGAGTTTCTATCTGGGCCTGTGGGCTGAGGCAGCTGATCCTCATCCCTGGCCTCTGCCCCCAGGAGACCTGCCAGTACCTCAAGGATTACCTGATGCGGCTGCTGGTCCCCTATGTGGTCAACGTGTCCTGGGCCGCCCAGTATTGCAGCTGGGCCCAATGCCATGGCCACGGGCGCTGTGTGCGCCGCGACCCCAGCGCCAGTACCTTCCTGCACCTCAGTGCCAGCAGCTTCCGCCTAGTGCCTAGCCACACACCTGGTGAGCCCCAGCTACGACCAGAGGGGGAGCTCAGCTGGGCCGACCGCAGCTACCTGCAGACGCACTTTCGCTGCCAGTGCTACTTGGGCTGGGGCGGTGAACAATGCCAGTGGGACCGTAGGCAGGCAGCTGGGGGTGCCAGTGGGGCCTGCACAGGGTCCCACCTCACTAGCCTGCTGGCTCTGGCAGCTCTGGCCCTCACCTGGACTTGGTAAGAGTCTCTCACCCGGCTGCCAAGCAAGCTGACCTCTGCCACAAGGGCTCCGCCAGGCACATAGGATCCTGCAAGGGGTGGACGAACTGGAGTCCGGAGGGGCCAGAGCCCCTGGGATGCTCAGGAGGGCATCCATGCCAGGTCTCATCCCCCTGTTCTAAGGGGGAGGGGCAGTCCCCTGGGAAGCCCCTTCTCTCTCTGCCAGAGAAGAAGAGGGGCACAGCCGGGCCAGGGAGTACCTGATCCTACTCCCCTGCTTCTGGATAGTTTATTATTATTATTTTGGGATCTCTTTTGTAAATTAAATATGAAACAACCACTTCTGTGCTTGGACTGTCTACACCTGGGCCAGGGCATGTGAGAGAGATTCCAGAGTCTTCCATGAGATTTAAAGATTTTATTTTTTATTTTTCCTTCTCCCTGAAGCCCCTCCAGTACATAGGTGTATATTTTAGTTCTGGGTCCTTCTAGTTGTGGCATGTGGGATGCCGCCTCAGCATGGCCCGATGAGCAGTGCCATGTCTGTGCCCAGGATCCAAACTGGAGAAACCCTGGACCACCAAAGTGGAGTGCACAAACTTAACCACTTGGCATGGGGCCAGCCCCTTCCGTGACGTTTAAACTCAGCTCTGTCTCTGTTAGACTCTGTGCTGGAGACTTCTTATCTGTAAAATGCATTTACTGAGACCTGGGGGCCCAGAGATGCCCACTCTGCAGCTGTCCTGCTGGGGCAGGAGCCACTGGGAGTACAAGGACTCACATTCCACCCCAACACCAAAGACCTTGCTCTCTCCATATTGATTAGAAAGCCTTTGGGCCCAACTTTCTGTGAGAGACGGGGCTCATTGTGCTTCTCCTACTTGCCCCTGTCTCCCTAGTTGGGCCAGTGCCAGTCACCTCGCCTTGCCCACCCAGGGAGAACAGCGGAAGTAGATGTTGATCTTCCCTGGCTGGGCAAGTAGCCAGACCACCTCTCCCTCCTGTTCCCAAAGACAAGGGCGTCTCCTCCACTCCTCACTCCCAAGGGTAGTAGACTCCAGCCATACATCCTCTCTCCATCTCGGTCACAGTCCTCCACTGGGTATAGTGGGGTGGGGGGCAAGCAGGAGATTGGGATCTGAATCCTGAGGTCCAGTCCCTGTCCCACTGCAAAGACACAGAATGGGGCAAGAGCCAGGCATCCTCAAAGGTCAGTGCTGTCCTGATCGTGGCAGAACATGGCTTGTCCCGAGCTGCCCCAGGGGAGAGCAGTAAGACCAGCTCTGACCTGCTTCATTCCCCTTGCTTCTGAAGGGAGTCACCCTAGGTGGGTCTCTGCCTTTCCTCTCAGCCATCAAACCCACCCCTGGGGACCCCTTGTCCATGTCAGTGAGGACTCAGCCCCTACTCTCAGGAAACGCTGGCTCTGGAGAGACAGACTCAAGAAACAGCTGAGTTGTGAGGAGGCCAGCTGAGCTGCAAGGACCCAGGGGAGGAAGTGATTTCTACATTGAGTTTTGAAAGGTGAGGGAGAAGCTTGATGCTGTGAACAAATCATGGGCAAGACTAGAGAAGGTCAGAGCACAGTTGGGGTCAGGGAGTTTGAGGCTGGGGTGTAGCTGGGGGTCTGCTGCAGGCAGAGGCAAGAAGGACAGCCCTCAAGTGGCATCACGCCTGACTTTGGTGGCAGAGACTGTTCAGTAAACACGCTGAGCACACACATGTCCCAGTGCTGGGCTGGGTGCTAGGGATGCGTTCATGAAGCACACCAACAAAGACCCCTGTCCTCCTGGGGATGACACTGTTGAGGGAGATGCATACAATTCGAAGAGCGAGTCATGCTAAAGACTGGAAAGTGCTCCCCAGAGCAGCATGTGAGTGAGGGGGTGGTGTGGTTAGGGGAGCAGAGCCTGGAGAAGCAAGCCCTGCCAAATCGCTGTCAACTCAGGTTGCAAAGTGATTCCTCATCCCTTTAGCTAGTGATGGCAGAGAATGGCTGGGTGGTTGCACTGGGAGGGCAACGTCAGTTCATGTGGTGGAGGAGGAGGCCGGGGTGGACCAGTTCCTTGGTGCTCTGGCCATAGTGGGGAGAGGCCTGCTAGAGAGAAGATTCAGGTGTTGGTCAGTAAGTCCGTGAGATGATGGAGCCAACAGAGGGAGCACAAAGAAGGAGGAGCTATGACCTTTCTCTACCACACTTGTGACTTTCCCTACCCAGCTGTGAGCCCACACACATCTGTGACCTCCCCACACAGATGTGACCCACGCACACCTGTGAGCTACCTCACCCACATCTATAACCTCCCAACACACAGGTGATCTAGGTACACCTGTGACCTCACCCACACAGCTGTGACCTTTTCTACTACCTGTGACCCTTACATTCCTGTAACCCACTATGTGCAAAGCTGCAATCACCCAATGTGTGACTTTACACAGCTGTTAGCTTCTCTGAACAGCTGTGACCTCCTGTACACAGCTGTGACCTGTACCCACCCAGCAGTGACACCTCCATACAAACCTGTGACCACCTCACGTCAGTTGCCCCAGGAAGACCTGGAAGACAGCCCTGGGGAAGGTGCAACTTGGGGACAGTCAGAGCTGTCATGTGGGTGGATGGGTGATTGGGGGGTAATGGGGAATGAGGTGGCTCAGGTGCCTGAGGTATATACAACCAGAGAGAGCAGGGCTGGACCATGGGGCTGGACTGACTCCAGACACATAACACTACTTGGACCAATCCGACTAGACCAGCCCAGCAGGAACAGGCCTATGGGCACGGCCCTGAAGTGGTAACAGCAGCTTATTCCCACTGTTCCATCATTAGAGTTTCTCCCTTAGACTGAGGTCAGCTGGAGAAGGCTGGCCTGCTGGTTGGCTGGATTATGCCAGTTGCAGAACTAGGTTTCTGGGGGCACCAGGAGGCAGCATGGAGCCTCAGGCAGAGGGGGTCAGGAGCTGCCTTACTGTTGTCCTGTCCCCTCAGCCCTTGCAAGTTGTGCCAGGCTCGCTGAGCCTAATGGTCATCATCTGGGACCCTACTTCCTGAACAGGATCAGCAGCTACCACCTCTGTGGCTAGATTCTGTTCTCAGGCCGTGGCTGATGTACCCACAGCCCCCAGGCTCTCCTGTCCTTTAGCCCTGCCGGCTCCTCCATCCTAGCCCACTTGGGGAACCAAGCCCAGATGGTAACCATCTGTGTCACCATTCCACTGACCGCCATGTCCGTGGGGGTCACTGACTCAGGCTCAGATTGGGCTGTAAATCCAGGCAGTACTTTCACCTGGGCCAGGAATGTGTTTCCTTCACCCCACCCCGGTAGGCAAGCCTGGGCCTGAGCACCTAGCAGGTCTCAATAACCAGCTTCTGAATCAGAAACAAGTGAAACCACAAAGGAATGAGCAAGCATGTGGTCACTAGACACCCGTGCTTCTACCCGTGGTCACACAAACATGGTCTCATGGTCATGAGACAACAGGGTCTCTCACACACACCCAGTCCCAGGAACTGGGGGTCCCACACTTGCACATACACACTACTGGAGTTTGTGCAGAGGCCCAGATGGTAAGTAACTGGGGCTTCACAAAGATACAATCACTGACCTGGCACCTATACAAAAGGTCATAACACAGCCCTGACTTCAAGAACACAGTACCTTTCAGACACAATCCTTGAAACCCGGGTGACTTATCCAATAGGCACAGGGCCTAGGGCCACAGTACTTCTAAGGGCCCACAAACATGTTTTAATTTTATTTTTAATCAGAAAAAACTAATATTAGTAATAAATATATAATAATGAATTCAGTCTGGATTATTCTGTCTTTATACCAACATATTTGTAAAATACATTTTAAAATATTTTTTTAAAGAAGGAGCCCACAAATGTCATAATGCAGCCATTCGAGGAGACAGTCCCGAGACACCAGACTCCAATACCACAGGCAGGCCTGCCCAGCTGTGTCTGCCACCCAGACTGCCGCCCCACACCCCACCCCAAATAAAGCACGGAGCCCTGCCCTAGTGCTGACGGGGTAGGAGAGGCCACTTCCGGCCCAGCCCCACCCCTTGCCAAGGGCACTTTGCTAGCGGTGCAGAGGTGGCTCTGCTGCCTGGCCCTGCCCTCTAGCCCACGGCCCGCCCCTCAGCCCGCCCCTAGACTGGGTGGGGTGACCCACTACAAAAGCTCAGAGTTTCCAGCAGCAGCTTTTTCCTCCAAGAGCATGGTGCAGCTGGAGCCAGAGTTGAGGAACAGAATCTTGCTGAGCCCTGCCTAGGCCCTCACCACGGGGTCAGGAAGTCTGGAGGATGAGGCCCTTCAGCCCTGAGGTCAGCAGGGACAAGTGGGCTGACTGGTAGGTGTACAGAAGGGCTGTGCTGACCTGTCCTTGGTCACTGAGCATCCTCCCTCCACTGGCTGGCCAGGATTCTTGGGGGAAGAGACAGGAAAGGCCCCTTGGTCAGTCTGGGGGCTGAGGGCCCGGCTTTCAGCTGTTCTGCTCAAAACAGGTGTCATGGCTTCTGGGGCCTTTGAGGAAGCGGGGTGGGTGAGCTTAGGCCAAGGCAAGGCCTGCTGGAGACAGAGGGCAGAGGCCTGGCCAGAGAGGCAACTCGGTTGTGTCCTCCAGTGGCAGTATTCCCCTCCATGCCTCTCCTTTGCCCTCTGACCTCCCTGAGCCATGCAGGCCAATCTTTACCTGAAGCCAGAACAGTGGTGGGTTAACGAGTGGGAGTCAGAGAGTTCCAGGCCTGCTCTCAGCTCTGCCTCCTCTGGCCAGGTTTCCCTAGACCTGCCCTGTGCCATGGCAGCCCACCTGCTTCCCATCTGCGCCCTCTTCCTGATCTTGCTCAGCATGGCCCAAGGCTCCAGAGGCCCTGTGGTACCCAACCAGCCCTTCACCACCATCTGGAACGCAGACACCGAGTACTGCCTGAAGAGGCACGGCGTGGATGTGGATGTCAGTGTCTTTGATGTGGTGGCCAACCCGGGGCAGACCTTTCGCGGCCCTAACATGACCATTTTCTACAGCTCCCAGCTGGGCACCTACCCCTACTACACGTCTACTGGGGAGCCAGTGTTTGGTGGCCTGCCCCAGAATGCCAGCCTGGTTGCCCACCTGGCCCGCACATCCCAGGACATCCAGGATGCCATGCCTACATCTGACTTTTCAGGGCTGGCAGTCATTGACTGGGAGGCATGGCGCCCACGCTGGGCCTTCAACTGGGACACCAAAGACATTTACCGGCAGCGCTCACGGGCACTAGTACAGGGGCAGCACCCTGACTGGCCGGCTCCTTGGGTGGAAGCAGCAGCTCAGGACCAATTCCAAAAGGCTGCTCAGGACTGGATGGCATATACTCTCAAGCTGGGATGGACACTGCGGCCTCATGGCCTCTGGGGCTTCTATGGCTTCCCTGACTGCTACAACTATGACTTTCTAAGCCCCAACTACACAGGCCAGTGCTCGCCAGACATCCGTGCCCAGAACGACCAGCTGGGGTGGCTGTGGGGCCTGAGCCATGCCCTCTACCCCAGCATTTACATGCCTGCAGTGCTGGAGGGCACAGGGAAGGCACTGATGTATGTGCGGCACCGTGTGGGTGAGGCATTCCGTGTGGCTGTGGGTGCTGGGGACCCCAATCTGCCCGTTCTGCCCTACGCCCAGATCTTCTACGACACAACAAACCGCTTTCTGCCCCTGGTGAGTCTCCTTGACCTTGTAACCTACCTTGTCAGGCAATAGGTCCTAAGCAACAGAGGCCACACAGCACTTTCATCCATTCATTCTCCCGCTCTTTGAGCACCTACTGTGTGCCAAGCTCTGCGCTAGGCACAGATGATCCAGCATTCATCAGAAAGATGTAGTCCCTGCCTGCATGGCACTCACAGGCTAAGGTGGGGACAGGCTTGCCTTTGGCCACCAGGGCCAGAGCAGCCCCAGGTGGGGGTTATGAATTATTGGTCCCATCTAATGATGGTACAAGAATCTGCTGTGGGGAGGGAGGGCGGCCCTATGAGCCAGAATGATGCTGTCCCTTTCCCCAGGATGAGCTGGAGCACAGCCTGGGGGAGAGTGCGGCCCAGGGAGCAGCAGGAGTGGTGCTCTGGGTGAGCTGGGAGAACACAAGAACCAAGGTGAGCTCAGGCCCAGGGTGGGGACAGGGGCAGGGGTGGTGCTGCCAGGCTGACTGGGGAGACCCTGGGCGGCCCTTTCTACCTCTGCAGTCCTGACTGGCCAGCGGGTGAGTGCCTCAATGCCCCAGGTGGGCCCATGTATGGCCGTGGTGTCCCTGACACTCCCCCTCCCACCCAGGAATCATGCCAGGCCATCAAGAAGTATGTGGACACCATGCTCGGGCCCTTCATCCTGAATGTGACCAGTGGGGCTCGTCTGTGCAGTCAAGCCCTGTGCTCAGGCCATGGCCGCTGTGTCCGACGCCCCAGCCACCCTGAAGCCCTCCTCATCCTCAACCCTGCCAGTTTCTCCATCAAGCTCACGCCTGGTGGTGGGCCCCTCACCCTACAAGGTGCCCTCTCTCTTGAGGATCAGGCCCAGATGGCTGTGGAGTTCAAATGCCGCTGCTACCCTGGCTGGAGGGGAGCATGGTGTAAGCAGCAGGCCATGTGGTGATTGGCCACACACCAGATGCACACCCTGAGCACCTAATGCACTCTGGGCTTAGCCACAGCTTTCTAAGTGCAGCACAGTCACACAGGTCATGGTCAATCAGTACACTCAGCCGCCATCATGAGCATATGCCTATGCATGCACACATGCTTACAGACTGGGATAACTGCATATAGAGTTAGAGCCTCCGGCACCCACCCAGCAGGCTCATAAACATTTCCTCTAGAGACACTGAGCCAGTCTTTATCTTTTTCTTTTATTATTTTTGTGTGTGTGAGGAAGATTGGCCCTGAGCTAACATCTGTTGCCAATCTTCCTCTTTTTGCTTGAGGAAGATTGTCGCTGAGCTAACATCTGTACCAGTCTTCCTCTATTTTATGTGGGACGTCACTTCAGTGTGGCTTAACTAGCGGTGCTAGGTCGGTGCATGGTCAGAACCTGCGAACCCCCGGCCTCCAAAGTGGAACGCAGGAACTTAACCACTACGCCACTGGGCCGGCCCCTGAGCCAGTCTTTAAACTGCAGCAATCACAAGAACTGACATTCACTGAGCACCTATTCTTCGCCAAGTCCTGTGCTAAGCATTTTAAGTAGGCTAACTCATTCAATCCTAACACCACGCTATGAGGAAATGGAGGCACACACGAGGAGGCTAAGCCGTTTGCCCAAGGTTGCACAGCCAGAAAATGGAGAAGCTGAGATTCGAACCCAGGCTGTCTGACTATAGAGGTAGAGCCCTTTGGCTCCTACTCTGTGTTGATGGTAACCAGCCATGCACACACCTGAATTCGTTCAGAGGCAACAGCCACACAAATAAAGCAGACTTGATTCTCACTTCAACAGCTATTTATTGAGCGCCTAAAACGTGCAGGCGCCAGGATCCAGAGGGCACAGGAAAGGTTCCTCTCTCACTCAGATCTGATGTCTGTCCGAGGGTGGCTGTTTCCCAGGATGGGACCCAAACTCCACGCTGGACTGGGGCAGGAGGCCGGGGGAGCCGAGACTGAGCCGAGCGGGCGAGACCGGGGCGGGGCACTGTGAGGCGGAAGCGGAGCCAGCTTGAGGAGGGGCCTGCGCCCCGCCAGGTGGCTGTGGCACGGTGGGCCCTGGCAGGGCCTCGGCGGAGCCAAATCGAGGGGACCTAAGCGGTGACGCACGGAGCCAAAGGAGCAGCCCGTATGGGCGGGGCAGGTGGAGGCGGAGTCAACGGGAGACGGAGCCTGCGACAGGTCGGGGCTGTGACGCTCAGGGTGCAGGGGCAGGAGGGGCAGAGGCGGAACCAGAGCAGAGACCGAGTCTGCGTCCAGTCGGTGTTATGACGCATTGAGCGGGGGCGGGGACTGCGGACCAGGGGGTGAGTGGCGAGACGCGACGGCTGCAGTGCGTCCGCCGCACCGCTAGGGGACAGCGCGGGCGGTCCGAGGAGTCCGAGCCAGAGACAGCGAGATACCCATCCGTGCGGAGTGAGGACACGGAGCAACCCGGAGCCCGGCTTCAACATGTCAGTACCGCCTCCTCCCTACGCGTGGCTTGTTCGTCCTCGGTGTCCCCCCTGCTCCCCGTCCGCTCCGTGCGTGCAGTCCTCAAGTGGCTGTGCAGCCCCGCACGCCCGCCCTGCGTCTTTCGTTCCCTCTCAGAGCTTGCTGAACCACACTCACCCAGAGTCAAGCTCTCGAAGCCCCTACCGCCCAAAACTCCACGGTTTGTCACCTACTAGGAGGGAGGGGGAAACCGAGGCACCAGAGAGACTGCTGCCCCTCTCCGAGGACCCAGGAGCCCCGCCCAGAGTGGGTGGAGTCGGCACTGACAGGGTTAAGCACGCAGGGACGTCTGGGGCTCCAGGCCCGGGGGCGGATCCTGGGGCTTCCTCCCTCCCGGTCCGGGGTTGTGGGCGCGGTTGCTGCGGCGGTGGCTGATGCAGGTGAGGGGCTTATAGCCCTCTGAGTGGGATGTGGTGTGCGGGGAGGAGGCTGCCTGTTAGTAACCAGTGTGTAATTGGCGTCAAGCTTCGGGGGCCTTCCTGAGGAGGTGGGGAAGGGGAGCCAGAAGTCCCCTCTGGAGCAGGTGAGTAGAAGGTGGGGCCCAGTAGGCCCCCCACCATCAGAAATCCCCCAGCATAGACCCTCCTGCCAGCAGGGCCTGGGGCAGGATGGGCAAACAATGGGATTTGGACGCAGCTGCTCTGGGTTCTCAACCTGATGGCCGTTGGACACCCCTGTAGACATAGGAAGGAAGCTGTGGTCCTTATCTAGAGTGGCTGCAAAACTCAGGCCAGTGGGGAACCAGGCCCACAGGAGCCACGTTGTTGTGTAGCTGAGCTAGGCCCCTTGCTGGAGCTGCTGGGGCTGCATCTGAGGGGACAGTTGGGTCCATGCCCAGTCAAAGTGTCAACTGAGCAAAGTTGAGGAGGAGTTCTGTGCCCCAGGCGGAGAAGGCAGTCCAGGGAGGGGAAAACAGCCTGATGGGTGGGTGAGTGTCACCCTACGATCAGTTAGGTGGCAGGTATGGCCCAGGTGGTCATAAAGGCTGGAGCCTGGAATGTAGGGAGAAGGGAGGGACAGGGAAACTCCTAGGGGCAGCTGTCTTTGCTCTTAAGAGAGCCTTGGGTGGGTTCAAGTTCTGATGACCAGCCAGCCACGGTGGTATGGTGCTGGATCAACTGTCCTGACAAAGTTGTAGCTAGAGCAGGCTAGGACCAGGGCTCTCGGGTTTTGCCCAAGCCTATAGCCCTCAGCCTCTGTCCGATGTGGGGCAGGACACCCTGGACCCATTCCCTCTGCTCTTTACCTGAGTCAGCTCCCCCAGGTTTAGAAGATGGGTCTCCTCCAGGTCACCTGTGCCATCAGGTGAGTATGGGGACAAGGTGCAGCCCACCAGTTCCAGGATGCATGGCCCCCCCAGTATTGTGTCAGCCCCTCCCTGCCCCAACCCTATCCTTCCTCCTGGCACAGCCCAGCATGGCTGTTGTCCACAGGAGGCGCACCCTTGTGGTCTGAGGAGATACCACTACCTGGAGACTGTGGTCTAAACCCCCAACCTGGCACTGACTACCTGCAGCCCAGCAGGAGATGACCTTGACTCCCAGCCTGACTCAGCTGAGCCTGGATCCTACATGTAGGCAAGAGCTGATTCTGAGCCCTGGCGCAGCCGAGCTGACCCCTACCCTAGACCCTACACACCGGATGGAGCTGATCCTGAGTACCAGCCCAGCTGAGCTGACTCTGGATCCTGCATGCCAGCCAGAGTTGACCCTGAAATCCAACCTGGCCAAGCTGACCCTGGATCCTGCACACCAGCCAGAGCTGACCCTAAGCCCCAGGCTAGCTGAGCTGACCCCAGGTTCCACATGCCATCCAGAGATGATCCTCAGTCCTGGCTCAACTGAGCTGACCCTGGAGCCTGTGCACTGCCGACCTGAGCTCCTGGATGCCTGTGCGGACCTCATCAATGAGCAGTGGCCCCGCAGCCGTGCCTCCCGTCTGCACTCCTTGGGCCAGTCCTCAGATGCTTTCCCCCTCTGCCTCATGCTGCTGAGCCCCAACCCCATGCCCGAGGCAGCCCCCATTGTGGTGGGCCATGCCCGCCTGTCACGGGTGCTAGACCGGCCCCAGAGCCTCCTAGTGGAGACAGTGGTGGTGGCCCGGGCCCTGCGGGGCCGTGGCTTTGGCCGCCGCCTCATGGAGGGCCTGGAGGTCTTTGCTCAGGCCCGGGGCTTCCGCCGGCTACACCTCACCACCCATGACCAGCTGCATTTCTATGCCCACCTGGGCTACCAGCTGGGTGAACCTGTGCAGGGCCTGGTCTTTACCAGCCGACGGCTGCCTGCCAACCTGCTCAGTGTCTTCCCCAGAGCCCCCTCCCCCCGGCCACACCGCAAGGCCCCTAGCCTGACTGCCCAAGATGCCCCAAGAGCCCCCAAGGGACCATCATTACCACCACCTCCTCCCCTGCCTGAGCGCTTGACCACCTCACCCCCACCTCCAGCAGGGCCCCCTCCACAAAGTCTGCTGGAGACACAATACCAAGACCTGAGAGGATGCCCCATATTCTGGATGGAGAAAGACATCTGAGGGCTACCCAGGGCAAGGCACTGTCCTTCTGGATCAATTGACTGCCCAGGACAGTACTAGCCTCAGCCCACTGGCCGTACCTCAGCCCCTGGCCCCTGGGGGCAGCTTTAGCTTGGGTGTGTTTCCTGAGTGCCAGTGGGACCAGGAGATGGTTCCATGGCTCTGGCTCTGAGCTGTCAGTGTGGCTGAATAAAGGCTTCTGTCGGGTGTGGCTGTGACAGTTTATTTGTTAACCCCCACCCTCGCCTCTCAGCCTCATCGTAGGTCCCCTATCCCTGCAGGAGCCCCCAAATCTACTTTGGCCCTGGGACCATGGGTAGAGGGACACCTGCCCTCTGCCCCTTCTACTCTGCTAGACCCAGCGGACAGGGTGTCTGTTCCCTTCCACATTTACTCATTCATCACTACTCACTGACCGCCTACTGTGTGTCAGGCCCTGAAGTAGACAAGACAATGGGGAACTAGACAGACAGATAGGGTCTCAACCCAAGGGGACAAATAGACAGGGATACAGCACAGGATCAACTCTGGGACAGTGGGAGCCCAAGTACCCTCACTCTGTCTGGAAATCCAGGAGACCTCCTCGGGGAGGTGAGGTCACAGCAGACATCTGAGTGTTGAGTAGGAATTAGGCCAGGTAAGGTGGGGGCTGAGTGTTCCTGGGACAGGAAACAAGATGGGCAGAGGAAAGAAGGGAACTTGTAAGACCTGTGGTTGGGGGAGGTGTCAGGACACAGTGGTGCCATGACAGAAATGGACAACATGGGAGGGGAGCTGCCCAGGCCAGCTTGAGGTGTAGCTGCTCTGAGAGGCCTCTGGGAGCCCTTGGAGACCAGGCTTTCCCCATCCCCGATCCTTGTGGGGACGAGCTAGGGGAGTTTTCCCAGCTTTCCCTGCTATATGGAAGGTGTGGCCATGGCCAGAGACTCTAAGCTCACACTACCTCTCTCCTGCAGGTTTCTGTCCCTGGGGCATGACCATGCAGCTAAGCTCAGCCCTGGTGCTAGGGGTAGTTCTGTGTCTGGGATGTGGCCAGCCCCTGCTGCAGGCCCCTGAATGCCCCTTCTCAGTACTGTGGAACGTACCCTCAGCACACTGTAAGGCCCGCTTTGGCGTGCACCTTCCACTAGAGGCCCTGGGCATCACCGCCAACTGTGGCCAGCGTTTCCATGGCCAGAAGATCACCATCTTCTACAAGAACCAGCTTGGCCTCTATCCCTACCTTGGGCCCAGGGGCACAGCTCACAATGGGGGCATCCCCCAGGCTGTGCCCCTTGACTGCCATCTGGCACGGGCTGCCTACCAGATCCACCACAGCCTGAGACCTGGCTTCACTGGCCTGGCAGTGCTGGACTGGGAGGAATGGAGTCCACTCTGGGCTGGGAACTGGGGCCGCCGCCGAGCCTATCAGACAGCCTCTTGGGCTTGGGCACAGCGGGTATTCCCCTACCTGGACCCCCAGGAGCAACTCCACAAGGCCCAAACTGGCTTTGAACAGGCAGCCCGTGCACTGATGGAGGACACGCTGCGGCTCGGTCAGGCACTGCAGCCCTATGGGCTCTGGGGCTTCTATCGCTTCCCAGCTTGTGGCAATGGCTGGCGTGGTATGGCTTCCAATTACACAGGCCACTGCCATGCAGCCACCCTTGCCCGCAACACCCAACTGCATTGGCTCTGGGCTGCCTCCAGCGCCCTCTTCCCCAGCATCTACCTCCCACCCAGGCTGCCACCTGCTCACCACCAGGCATTTGTCCGATACCGCCTAGAGGAAGCCTTCCGTGTGGCTCTCACTGGGCACATACATCCCCTGCCTGTCTTGGCCTATGCCCGCCTCACACACCGGAGCTCTGGGAGGTTCTTGTCCCAGGTGAGTGAAAGTGATGTCTAGGGGTCTGAGTGGGGAGGCATGGCCCTATCCTGGGAAGATCTGCGAAGACCTTGCCCAGGAGAATTTGAGGGGGAGGCCCTGATTTAGTTATGAGAGGGGAGGTCTTGTCCTGGAGCATCTGACCAGGAGGTATGGCTCTGCCCTGGAAGATCTTGAGAGGGAAGGCAAGGCCCAGCCTTTGGAGCCCTAGTCTGAGGGGAGGCAGTCTCCAAGCAGAGGGCCTGAGAAGCCTCTCTAAGACTCAATGCCAAGGGGCCTACTCTAGAGGTGGAATCAGATCATGGCAATGAGCCAGGAAAGTTTCTTGAAGGTGGAGATAGGCCCAAATGGATCTGGCCAGCCCAGTTCTGGCTTAGCAGCTCTCTGCCTCCAGGATGACCTCGTGCAGACCATTGGTGTGAGTGCGGCACTGGGGGCAGCCGGCGTGGTGCTCTGGGGGGATCTGAGCTTCTCCAGCTCTGAGGTAATCATTGACCCTGCAGCCTGCCATGCAGCCCACGCTGGGGTCTCAGGGTTGGGGAGAGACCATGTCAGGGCCATGGAGCAGGGGAATTGATACATCTCTTCCCTCTCCTCAGGAGGAGTGCTGGCGTCTTCATGACTACCTGGTGGGCACCCTGGGCCCCTATGTGATCAATGTGACCAGGGCAGCCACGGCCTGCAGTCAGCAGCGGTGCCATGGCCATGGGCGCTGCGCCCGGCGAGACCCAGGACAGATGGAAGCCTTTCTGCACCTGCAGCCAGATGGCAGCCCTGGAGCTTGGGAGTTCTTCAGCTGCCGCTGTTACCAGGGCTGGGCTGGCCCTACTTGCCAGGATCCCAGGCCTGAAGAAGCAACATAAAGCCAGGAGTCATCTGCCCCTGACCTTCTTGTCCCTGTCCCACTCTTGTTCTATTTAGCTTACAGTCATTCTTCCAATACACACACCCCACTTCCCATGGGATCCCTGCGGATTGGAAGGGGCCAGAAAAATAACATACCATTTTAAAACCAGAAGCCCCCTGAGATCACCTGATCCCTCCTGACAAGGAAGCAGCCTTAGGGAGAGTCAGGGTTCCAGATGGTTAGCATTGCTAGCCCAGGACTCTGTTCCTACATCTCACTGGGTCCATGGAGAGGTTACAGGAGACCTGTCCAGGGGCAGGTGGGCCCCAAGAAGATCTTGGATGAAGTCTGTTAAGTGCTAAGTTGTCTGTACTCTGCTTTCATCATAAAGTCTTTTTCTTTCACTGCCTCTGGTTTGGCTGTTCCTCCTGTTCTACCAAGCCCCATGCTCTTCCTGTCGCTAGTGTCCAGCTGCAAGTCCTGCCATGAGATGCCGGTCCTGCCATGGTGGGCAGCTCCAAGGGGGCAGCTTTAGAGTTAACGACTGTGCACGTGTGCACGTGCTGGAGGGGACTCGGCATTGTGGGTGCATAGTTCAGCTAGAGCGTCGTGGGCTCATGGGTCCAAGGAGTAGACTACAATTCCCGAGGTGCTCTGCGCCCAGGGGCCCGCGGTAATCTACGCGCACAGCCCCCTGGGAATAGTAGTTTCAGCCACGTGGATAAGGGTCTGAACCGAATGGCCGGGAACTCGCCTTCCCGGCGACCCGTTTAACAGGGTGGGGCGCTTCGACCCGTTTGGCAGGGCGGGGCGCCTCGTGAAGATGGTGGCGCGCGAGGCGTGTGGCTCCCGTCGTCTGCCCAAGTTTCAGCTCAGTGCACCCGCCAGCGTCTCGCTGGTCTGGAGCCCCTGCCTGCCGGGCCTCTGACCCCGCGCCCCCACGCCCGATTCCCGGCATGCCCCGCGCCCGTAAGGGCGGTGCGCCCCGCAAGGGCGGCCAGCGCCGCCGAGGGGGTAAGTAGGGGGCACTGGACAACTGATGATCGCTGAGCGGTAGCCCTGCGTGGGTCCCTGTCGGTGTCCCCGAGGGTCCTGGGTGGGGACTCCTGCCCCGACCAGTCTGGCGCCGGCCCCCCGAATTCCCCCGCGGCCGGCACGTGTCCCAGGAGGCAGGGGCCACGTGTGTGCCCAACTTGAGCGCGCAGATCGCTCGTCTGGAGCCCGCGCTCCCAGCCCCGGTTTCCCCATAGCCCCTCCACCCCAATTGCCTGCTGTGGTGGACAAACCTGCCGGAGGGAGCAGGAAGCCCGACCCCTGCTAATCCCTGATCGTTTCCTGGACTGGACTAGGAAGTTGCTGGGGCGGGGAGGTGGGGCGCTGGCTTGTCTGGGAGAACTGAGAGAGGGGGCTTTGGGGAAGCTGCAAGATTCAGGCCTTGGCGAGCCTGGCCCTAAAGGGTGGATGAGTGTCCTGGAGCCTGAGGCAGTCCTGAGAGGCTTATCAGCCTCAACCAGGAGAGTGTCCTAGTGCAGTAAACATGTATGTTTACTTTGCAGGGATGAGATGCCTGCTAGGCACAGCTTAAACTTGGCCACCGCCCTAATGGTCTTGGGTGGAGGGACATCTAAGAAAGTAGCAACATTCCAGAAGGACTAGTGCTGGGGAACAAGTTCACTGAGTGGTATAAGCCCAAGACTTAGCAACCAGGGAAGCCTCAAGGGAGGGGCTTCTCAGAGAGTCCTGAGCAAGTGAAGAAGAGAGTACCATGTGGAGGGAACAAATGGTACATAGGCCTGGCATCTGGAGGGACCATGCCACAGTGGAGCGAATGAAGGAAGGCTGGGCTGCTTTGGCAGGTAGAGTAGTGAGAGAGGAGGTGAGCAAAGGCCTGCAAAGCACAAAGTCCAGCAAGCACACAGAGTATATAGTTTCTGAGAAGTAGGGCCAGCCTGGTGACCAGAACCCATCAAAGTCAGCCCGAGGCCCTGGGCAAAATCCACACACAGGAGTATTCCAGATCTGCTGACCCTAACAATCCCCTGTATATACCTATTTTCAGGGTCTCATGCGGTCAGAGGTAGCTCTGCTTTCTGCACTTTCCAGGGTCAGGAGGAGCCTGTGTGTCCATCCATCCAGGGCTGAAGGCCTGGGATGGACCAAGGGCAACTCAGAAGACAATATGCTTGAAGCCTCAGGCACCCCCGCACATCCACTAGGAGCTGGGCTTCTGCTCCCAGGGCTAATGGGTGACCTGGTGAGCTTGTTAGCTCACAGAAGAGCCATAACTAGTCACTTGTTTAGTCATTGTCTTCACTTGCCCTACCAAAAGAGGTGCTTTTGCATCTCTGATTTGCAGGTGGAGAAACTGAGGCTTTAAATGCTAGACACCTGACCTAGTTACACTTCTGTTAATATATGGAGCTGAGATTTGAATCCTGGATCTGTCTGAGCTTATGAGTCCCTGACCCTTGCCCTAGCCATTTTGGGGCATAATCTGGGTTGGTGACTGAAGTTCCCCAGGATCTTCCTGGATGTGCTCCCACTCCAGGCTGGGCCACTGGCCTAAGTGGGGCCAGTGCAGCACCTTCTACCTCTACCTGGCCAGCAGTCTCCTCCTTAAAGCAGACTCCGGTCTCATGGAGGCTCTGCTCACCAAGCCTGCCAGGTTTTCCTAGGCTGGGCCTAGTGCCTGCTGCTCTCCAGCAGATAGACCTCATTCTCTTTCTCCTGCTTCCTGGTTCAGTGTCCCCTGCAGCCTCTGTGCCTCCTGCCTCAGCCTCGGTTTTCTCATCCCTGAGAGGGATAGCATTCTGTCTCGTGGGGTCATAAGGCTGAGTGAGGTACCCCCATCATCACTCATCAATGAAAGCAGGCCAAGTGCCCCGTTCCACCCTCCCCAGGTGCCTGCAGCAGTACCCAAGCTGACTCAGGTTCCAGTGAGGATGAGGCAGCCAGTGAGGCCCGCAGCACCACCAGTGAATGCCCCAGCCTTCTTAGCACCGCAGCAGAGGACAGCCTTGGTGAGAGTGGGTGGGACTTTGGCAGGGACTCAGTGGGGGCTCTGTGGGCTAGGGCAAGAAGCAGGGCTGACCAGCTGGCCTTGCAGGGGGGGATGCCATGGATGAGCAGGGCCAGCAGGAAGACCTTGAGGAGAAGTTGAAGGAGTATGTGGACTGCCTCACAGATAAGAGGTACCCCTCACTGCTGGCCAACCCCTCACCCATGTCCCTGCTCAGCCCATGCCAAATATGACGCAGGTAGGGCTGGCCCACAAGAACCTCCCTTCTTCATCCCCCAGTGCCAAGACCCGGCAAGGTGCTCTTGAGAGCCTGCGCCTGGCCCTGGCATCCCGCCTACTCCCCGACTTCTTGCTGGAGCGCCGCCTCACGCTGACTGATGCCTTGGAAAAATGCCTCAAGAAAGGTTAGGCCTCGGGGCAGAGGGGGGACCTGAACTGGCCAGGTGCTGACCTTTGCTGCGTGGGCTCACTGGAAGGCATTCCTACAGGGAAGGGCGAGGAACAGGCCCTGGCTGCTGCTGTGCTGGGCCTGCTCTGCGTGCAGCTGGGCCCTGGACCCAAGGGCGAGGAGCTGTTCCACAGCCTGCAGCCCCTCCTATTCTCTGTGCTCAGTGATGGTACAGCCAGCCCTGCCACCCGGCTCCATGTGAGTGTTCCATGCTCCGTGACACCCTTCCCTCACCTAATCCGTAAGCAGAGAGATGGCTTCCACCTGCTTCTGGGCTCCCCTACTCTGAGGGTGAGCCCCATGACTGGGAACCCAGGCTCACCCTCTGACTATGGCCTGGCTTTGCCTTCTTCCCAACAGTGCGCTTCTGCTCTTGGCTTGGGCTGCTACGTGGCTGCCGCCGATGTCCAGGTAAGTGGCCTTTGGGCACAGGTAGTAGAGCACCTAGGCCTAGCTCTGCCCCTGAGCCACTCCCCTGCCTCCCTGTGCCCCTAGGACCTGGTCTCTTGCCTCACCTGCCTGGAAGGCGTCTTCAGCCGGCCTTGTGGTGTGGGTGGCTCCACAGCCTCTGTATTCCCTGTCAGCCTGCATGGTCTGCTCTGTGCTGCCCTGCAGGCCTGGGCATTGCTACTCACCATCTGCCCCAGCACCCATATCAGCCACATCCTGGACAGGTAGGGCTGACTTCCCACTGGGAGTGGGAGGGAAAAGGTGAAGAGGCCTGAGCCCACACATGTAGCTCAGCCTGCCCCTTTCCCAGGCAGCTGCCCCGTCTGCCCCAGCTCTTGTCCAGTGAAAGTGTGAACCTGCGGATCACTGCTGGCGAGACCATCGCACTGCTCTTTGAGCTTGCCCGGGACCTTGAGGTGTGAGGGAGGGTGGAGGCAGAGGGAGGGTGCCTGCTGACACTACCTGCCCATCCCAGGCTGGGTGCAGGGGATACCACAGGAGACAGGGCAGCCTTAGATCATTATGGAAGAGGATAGCCCCAAAACAAACTCAGATGCCAGGTGCTATGACGGGGGCCCTAAGTAAGGGTGTCCAGCCCAAGCAGGGGCCAAGAAGGGATTCAAGGGAGCCAGGCAGAGAAGAAAATGACTTCCTCAGTGAAAGGAAAGGTTTGGGCAGCCCCATGTTGGGAGCCAGCAGAGCTCAGGCTTCTGCTCACATGCCCTCCCTCACTCCTGCTGCAGGAGGACTTTATTTACGAGGACATGGGGGCCCTCTGCAGTACCCTGCGCACTCTGGCCACCGACAGCAACAAGTACCGTGCCAAGGCTGACCGGCGGCGTCAGCGCTCTACTTTCCGTGCTGTGCTGCACTTTGTTGAGGTGCGTATGAGAATGTATGTATCCTAGCCAGAATGCATCCCCAGGCACAGCCACCAGGCTCAGACATGTGGACCCCTATACCTTGCAGGGCGGCGAGTGTGAGGAGGAGACCATCCGATTTGGGCTCGAGGTGCTCTATGTAGACAGCTGGGCTCGGCGCCGGATCTATGCCGCCTTCAAGGATGTGCTGGGATCAGGCATGCACCACCACCTCCAGGTGGGGAGGTGGACAGGGAGGGGGCACGCAGGTTGGTTGCTTCAGACTGGCCCGAGCTCACTGCCCTCTTTGCCCCCAGAACAACGAGCTACTCCGTGACATCTTTGGCCTGGGCCCTGTGCTGGTGCTGGATGCCACTGCCCTGAAGGCCTGCAAGATCTCACGTTTTGAGAAGGTTTGCACCCTTGGGCACCTTTATCTTCCCTCCATTCCTGCGGCCCAGAGGCCTGGAGCTCTGCAGGGGCTGGAGGAGAAGCCCTGGGCCTCCCCGTCCACAGCTCACTAGATCATCACTCTTTGCCCCCACTCCAGCACCTATACAACGCTGCCGCCTTCAAAGCCCGGACCAAGGTGCGCAGCCGCTTGCGGGACAAGCGGGCAGACATCCTGTGAGGCAGGACCAGCTGAAGAGGAGAATGTCCGCACCCTTGCCCGCATTTTTAACAGAAGACAGTGCAACAGCTGGTCCCCGCCAAGAGTTGTTGCTTTATTTTTTTAATGACAAAACCAAAAACAGACATGGGGGTGGGTGGCTGGAAGCCAGGCCCTTTGCCCCTGCAGTCAGCCCTGTGGCCTCTTCCTGCCCTGTCTCAGGCCAGGCCAGGTGTGTGCCTGTCCCAGGGCTGTGGGGCAGCCAGTAGGAGGCCTATCCCTTCCTTTCTCTCCTTTCTCAGGCCTTGCTCCCCTTCCTTGGGGTGGGGGTGGAATGGCATCTGGACAGATGCCACCTCATCAGGTGGGGAGGTAAGGCTACCTGGAATGGATTTATGTGCTGACTTTTAAAGATTATTAGAGATAATTAAACTGAATGCTCAGCCCTCTGTGGCCCTGGCTCCTAGGTGTTTCTGCCTGCCATCCCTCCCCATCCACCACCACAGACTTGGGTCCAGCTAGGTCCCCCCCTCTCTATCTCACTTCTGCCCTCCCAAGACATTCTCTCCCCAGGTGGGCCTTCTCCCCATACTCAGAGCCCAGCCTGTCTTTTGACAGCTGAAGCTGGACCCCCACTGGGAGGCCTGGCAGAGTGACTGGGTGACTGGGTGGGGGCAGCTATTTCTAGACTTCTGAACCTGCTATCCGGGGGAGGCCACAGGGTGCTGACAGGCCACAGGAGGAGCCAAAGAGGCTGGTGTTGCTTCCTCTGACCTTGGGCCACCCAAAGCAGGGCCTTGGCACCAGAAGGCTTGGCTAGGCCTGGCCTGAAGAAGTCAGGAGAGGTGGGCAGGCAGCTATGGGGTCAGATCAGGCTCTTGTACAAAAACCTCACCAAGGAAGTAGTGTAGATCAGCAGTGGGAGAGGAGAAACCTGCCAATGGCCACTTTATTCCCCCCTACACACACCCCCAGGCCCCAGGTCCAAGCGGCATCTCAACTGGGTGCCCGGGCCTCACTGGAGTTGAGCCTCCGCAGCTGGCTGAGGCTGGCGAGCCGGAGTTTGAGTAGCATCTCCTCCTGTGTATGCAGTGTGTGCGCCAGCATACGTAGGGATTCACTCTGCAGCACTGTGGACAGGCAGATAGGAGTAGGGGATTATCAGACCTCATGCCACCCCACAACTCCTCACCCACTCAGCCTGGTGCCAGAGGGTGCTCAGACCCCCTACCCGACCCTTCACTGCCTCAACCTCTGCAGTTGCTCCCCCCTACCATGCAGAAAGGCCTTCCAGTTCTACTTCCTTGCCTTCAGTTCCTGCTGCCTTCCTGCACTGTCCTTACCGCTCAGGTAGACAGCCAGGACAGCAAGCGCCAGGCAGGTGAGCACCAGCAGTGCCAGCAGCAGCAGGAAGCCCCCACGGCAGTGCACAGGGCTGCAGCTGGCCTGGGCACACAGCGATGGTGGCAAGATGCTCAGCAGCTCATCCCATGGCTGTGCCTCCTCAGCTAGGTAGGGGCGCAGCGAACCTGTGGGGCAAACGGGGCATCAGGAGGGTGGCGGATGTGCCTGCTTTCCTCCCCTCTCCCAGTTCTTCCACCCTGCACCTCTGCCCCACCTCACCTCCACTATGTAGGTCGCTGATGGACTCCACGCGGTGCAGGCACACCTCCTGCACGTGATTGGAGGCCAGTGGTGCCCTGCTCCTGGAGCTCATCGTTGGTGCCATAGTGTCTGCAAGGGCAGCATGGAGCTGATTCAGCCAGCGGGTCACCCTCTCCCTTCTCCTAGGTGGCTTCCAGCAACAGCAGGGACTCAGAAGATGGGGACAGGACAGAGGGGCATTTGGCTCCTAATCCCCTAAAACTAACTCAGGAATGACCCTTGATTTGGAGCCAGGACAACCCCAGAACCCCATAGGCCTGTTCCATCCTCAGCAGCTGGAGGTGTACCTGACTTGCTCATGTTGTTTCCTTCCAAGCACCTCAAGCACTGTCTGGCGTTCCTCTGCCTGCTCACTTCTAGAGAAGAGTTTATCAGCCTTGCAGGACAAAACCCGCAGTGCATGAAATTCATTCCTGCCTCTTCTGTCAGTCTTCCCTGCAGACCCTGTGAGTTAGCCATCAAGCCAGACACAGTGCCTGGTGCCTTCTGGTCCCCAACAGCAGTGGTCCCATTCTAGCCAGCTAGCGCTGGTTCCTCCTGGCCTTGGCTCTGCTTCTTTAACATACTCAGGGGGATCCAGATGTACTTCTGTGACCCCTGCTGCTTTCACTCAACATCAGAACAGGAGACCTGCCTTTGTTATCAAACTGTTTCTGAGCCTCTGAGGTCTCCCTTCAGGCATCCCTTTGAGGCTGCCTGGGCATTGGGTTCCAGTTCCCTTCCACAATTAATAACCCCTAGAAAAGGAGATGAATAATTGATTCTGAAGGTTTTCTCCAATTTCACAATAGTTATTTAGAACAGATTCCCGGAAGAAGAATTACTGGATCAAAGAGCAGGGACTTTTTTTTAAACGCTGTCATCAAATCGTCCTCTAGAATGGCTGTCCACAGCCCCCAAAAGAGTACAACATCACCACCATTAGGCATCTCCAATGAAAAAGAAAAAATTGGCACATGTGCACACATGTATGTACTAAATTGGGAGATGAGAAAAAGTCTTGACCCATTTGGTTGGATTTCTTTCCCTGGGGTCCCTGACCAATATGTGTGTGGCCTCCTAATTACCTATTCGCAGCCTCTGCCCATTTAGTCACTGGGGTCTCTATACTTTTCTTGTGATTTTAATTACTTATTTTCGGACCCATCAAAGTGTTTATTTTGTGATTTCTAAAACTTATATTTTCTTCAAGTTGTTCTTTGACTTGATTTTTAAAAAAAAATCTTGGCCCTTTAAGCCCTCCAGATACCCAACTGGAAGCTAGATAACAAAGTCGGGGGCATAGAGGGGCCGCCACCTGATTGAGGCAGGACCATTGGACTCTCTGGGTCTGTCACTTTCAGAGCAGTCACACAGCCTTCCCGATTTGCTTGAAACTGGCCCTTGATATGCTCAAAAGTAAAACAAGCATGCTGCCAGTCGTTTCATCAGGCTGGTGTTGGGGGTCATATTAAACTCCCTCTTTGCACTTGGTTGTCCCTTTCCCACACTTTCTAAATTGAAAGTGAAAATCAGATTCTGTTTGTTACCAGGAAAAATACACAGTAAATGTCATTGTTGAGACCCCATGAGGAGGGAAACATCCCCCGCGCACCAGGCCCAGGCTCCTCCTACCTGGAGTAAAATGTTGAAAATGTGATGGGAGTTGACCAGCTGGGCCAAGCTGGAGCCCTGGAGCAGCTGGTCCTGCATCCCAGCCAGCACCAAACCTGAAGCTCCCTAGGTCCCCTGCTCTGGCCCCCTGAGCTTCTACTTGCATGTGGTGTGGCAGTTACCTGGGCAGCCACCAAGGTTGTAACTAGCAGTCAGTCTGGCCAGGCTAAGGGACCTCAACTTTTAGCCAGTTGGGGCCACCTAGTCCCAAGTTGGAGGAGATCAGAAGCCTATCCATTCCCAGTCCCTGAGCCATGTGGCCAAATGCTTCCTGGAACCACTGCCTACCCCTAATCCCAGCTTCCTCCCTGAAGGGAGAGCAGAATTGGCCAGGCATCTGCCCCACCCATGCCCACCTGGGCACAGCTTATAGTTGACCCTCCCCCAACTGAGTGGCTCCCCCCAGTCCCTCCCTGCTATCCCTAGCAGGGGAAACAGGCAAGGCCTGAGGTGAGGAGGGGTTCCAGGCATGGTAAGCCCTATCTCCATGTACAAGGGGCAGGTCCCCATACTTGAGCTGGGACATGGTGACTGATATCTAGTCAAGGAAGCGAAGTCAGTGGGACAGGGGGCAGGTTTCTCCATGATCCATAGAGTCACAGGCCCGGGGCCTTGCCCTCCCTTACAGTCCTCTCCTACCTTCTCTGGTCTCCTCAGGCATAGCGGGTGGTGGGCAGTCAGGGGGCTGATGATAGCGAGCGTCCAGTAGCAGGACAGGATGGAGGCAGCAGTGGCTCTTCTGAGAGCCTAGGGAAGGCCTGGCCACCTCCTAGCCTGGGCCTAAAATAGGCCTGAGCTCAGCCCACTGGGCTATATTTAGAGGAGACAGCTCTCAGCCATGGGAAGGGGAGGAGTGACCCACATGGGCCAGCCTGGACTATCTACCTGGTGATGGAACCTAGGCAAGAGTGCACCTTCACTAGTGTGTGTGCCCAGGGAACCCTGCCACCCCCACATACACACAGGCCTCGTCTTCCTCCAGACAAGCCACCTCAGGCATACCTCCAGCAATGCCTCACACAGCAGCTTTGCGTGGGACCCTGTGTATCTCCATTCCTAAAGACCCCACTCAGCTGGGTCATCTCTTCCAAGCAAATGTGGGACAAGCATCCACCACTGTGACCTGTTGGCTCCAGGGATTGGGGGATTGGGGGTGATGGACAACCGGAGCCGAGTGCCATGAGGGCTTTGGGAGCCGTGAAAGGGGGCAGGCCCCCCATACACGTAGGCATCCATGCTGGTCAATGAGTGGACCCAAATTGAAGGCTGGCATTTACAATACTAAGCTTACAACCTTGAATAAAAGATTGCTCCATTTCTGACCTGTTTTCTCAACTGTAAAACAGGACCAAATGGTTCCTCCCCAGCACAATACATGTGAGAATGGAAATATAACCATGTGTCTGAAGTACTTGGCACAATGCAGTCTTGATCCTTCTCCCTTCACAAGTGTATAGAAGTTGTGTGAGGGTGCATGGCACCCCTTGCCCTTGAAGGAAGTGGTCCAGCTTAAGGCCCACCCTTTGCCCCTCTGCTGTTGGACCCCTGTGCCCCTCCTTCCCAAATGGGACAAAGCAAGACAGTGGGCTCTACCTCCTAAAACATCCCAAATCCATCACTCTACTATATTACACTGGCCTCCTTGATGATTCCTCAAACACAGCAAGCTCGTTCCTACTGCAGGGTCTTTGCACTGGCTGGTCCCTCCTGGAATGCTCTGTCTCCAGATATTCCCATGGCTGGCTCCTTGCCATTTAGCTCAAATGTCACTCCCTCAGTGAGGCCTTCTCACATTCTTTTCCACATCATCCAATTTTATTTTCTTCATAGCACTTAGCCCAGAAACTATATTATTGAGAATATACTGGACATGTCAGTATCCCCAAAGGCCCTACAGAATCCACTCAGTCAAATGGAAACCACCTTTAATCCTCACCACAGCATCCTTGGACAGAAGACACTGAGTTCCTGAGACAGCTAGGAAGGTGCCCAAAGCCACAAAGCAAGATGTAGGACCAGCAGTTCTCTGCTAGAGCCATTCCAGCTTCAGCTGATAATGTGTTTATTGCATTAGTACAGTCGGCCTGCCCCACCCCCGCCAGCCCAGCCTGTTCACAGCTTTCTACTCATTGCCCAAGGAGGAGATCCTTCCCCCAGGGTGGGCACTCGGGGGCACCTCCCCTGCCCAGGTCGTGGCTCTGGAGCCTTGCTTCTCTGCCTCCTCCATGCCAGGCACCAGCTGCACCCTGTGCCCGGCCTGGGCCACCCCTCCCGGGGCTACATTCAAGGGTTATTTTCTGTTAATAAATAAGCCAGTGCGGCTGCCCCTCGGCCAGGGCCTGTCAGTCGGTGTCTCCGTAGGCCGGAGACGGCAGTGTGCCCGGCCCCTAACTGTCCGTGTCCCAGGATCTGTCCGCCCCCTCTCTCCCACCTGTCGTCACCTCCCCAGTCCCCGGCGTGGGGACGGCCGAGTCACTAGTGCGCTGCGCTGCGCGGACCCCGCTCAGAGCGGGTCTCTGTGGCATGCGTCCGCCGGTTGCGGCCCTTCTTCCGCAACTCGGGAGGCGGCGGGCGCGGCCCGGGCTGTGGACGACACATTCGCAGGGAGCTCGCGCCACCGCCGCCTGGCTCCACCAGCTGCAGGAAGTCCCGGTACCAGAGCTTGGGGCCCAGCGGCGCGACGGGCGCAGCATCCTCCGTCCGGGCCAGCCTTTCGGCCTGCGCAGCACTCAGCACGTGCAGCGCCAGGCGACGCAGCGGCTGCGAGAAGCCCTGCTCCACTGCTGCGCACAGGTACATGCCTGAGTCCCCGCGCCGCAGGCCGCGCAGCAGCAGCCCTCGCGTAGTGCGCTCGGCACGCTCCTCTGCAGGCACCTGCGAGCCGGGGCAGCGTGAGGGCGGGGCGTCAGGGTCCCGCACAGGGCTCCCCATCCCAGCGTCAGAACCGAGAAGCAAAGGGGCAAGGGCTGCCCAGAGGGAGCGGGGAAGAGGCGCCCACAGGTGCACATTTGAAGGTTGGGTGCATGGGGGCAGGGAGTCTTCAAGCGGAAACCCGAACGGGGGTAAGGGTTCACCTAAATGTGGGGGGCAGGTCAGGGACCTCAATAAGGGGGGCTAGGAGGAGGGTTTCTGTCGGATGCGTGTTGGGGGTGGGGGCGGGAGGTGGATCAGGAGCCTTGTTGGACAGAACGGGGCCTCACCAGGATGTGGAGTGCAGGTAAGGGACCAAACCGGACGAAAGGGGTCAGGTTGGGCAGAGCCTCACTGGGCGGAGCTGGACCTCATCTAGATGTGGGGAGCAGGCCAAGGGCCTCATTAGTCAGGGCTGGGTCTCTCCTGGATGTAGGGGGCAGAATAAGGGTCTGGTTGGGGCAGAGACGGGGACGGGGGAGGCTCACCTGGGTGCTGGCCGCCTCCCCTGGGCGCTGGAAGGTCCACTCCACGCGCGCCTGCAGTGAGCGGGGCTCACACTCCAGGAAGGCACTGCCGCCCTCCACACCGAACACCTTCTGCTCCAGCAGTGTGGGATGGGACGAGTCTAGGGGCAAGGGGAATGTCAGATTCAGGCAAGGCAGGTCGTGGTGGGGCGTCTTCGAGGGCTGAGAGGTGGGGACAGCTGGGGCACTCACCCCCCGAGCATAGCGTGCTGGGATCCCCATTCCTTACATCTTGCCGCCGGAACCGCCTGGGGAGAACGTTGGAGCCTCTGTGAGCCCTTCTTCTTTTATCCAGGAGCCACGAAAGACTCCCTCCCAGCGCCTGCCCCTGACCCTGCCCACCTTTTGCCACTGGGCTGAAAGCGCGTGCACGCAGCCCCGTCCCAGGCGCAGTAGGGGTCACGCGCCAGGCAGCATTCGGCGCAGGCGTGGCCGTGGGCAGCACAGCGGTGCAACGGGATCTGGGCCACCGCGCTCCGCGAGGCTATGTACAGCTGGTGCTAGGGGGCACGAGGGGCTCCGGGCTGACCGAGATCGGCCCCATGCCCGCCTCCCATTGATCAGGGATCCCTTCCCCCACTTGACAGATGGAAACACTGAAGTGTCAGATCACACATTCTAGCGAAGGTAGAGCCTATCACTCAAACCCCAGGGCTTTGAACTACCAAGGGAGGCATGAGGGTGGGGGTGCCCGGGAACGCCCTACGTCCATTCTGTCCCCAAGCCTTCTGGTCACTTACCCTCTTGGAGGAGATTTGCATGCTGGTGACAGCCGCTGAGTCCTGAGAGGGAGGAGCAGCGCTGGGATCAAGGCTCAGTGGGGTGGGGGTACCGCAAAGGACGAGGACTAGGCCTCACCTCAAACACGTGTAGCTCCTCCAGGAGCAGCCCCTCGGCGTTAGGCCAGCCGCCTTTGGGGACTGAGATCACCTTCAGCACTGTGCCAGCGTCTGCAGGGTGAGAAGGAGTGAGTGACTCCTTATATGCCCTGACAGGCAGGGCCAGGGGTCTCTTCACCTCTGAGGCCTAGGCCTCCACACTCAGCATGGTGGGGTCAGGGAATAATGTGCGTTGGAACAAGCAGACCATCACCCAGGAGAGGAGGGCACAGCCCAGGCAAAGATGTGGAGATGAGACTGAACAGGGGGAGCTTCCACTAACAGGCCAAAGAGCCTTGTGGATCTTGTGGGTGGTCATGACAGGACCCTGACCTGTGCCAATGAAGAGGACGTCATAATGTCCGTCAGCAGCAGCTACACGGTCCGCAGTGATCTGGGTGAAGGTATACCCGGCACCCACTTGTAGGAAGAGAGGGCGTCCCCCCATGGGCAGGACTGAATTGTACATGAGGGGGTGGTTCCGGGCAAACTTGATGACGTCATCAGGAAAGTCCTTGGTGGAACTGAAGGTGCCAAAGGTCTTGCTGGGGCACTGGGGGGTGGGGAGGAGGCACGACAGGGATGTGGGTATGAGGGCCTGGTGGGCGGCCCTCCACAAGAGACCTCCCGGAACCTGGACTGAGCAGGGAGAATATTGGACAGAGCCCTGCCCTGGGAATCTGAAAGAGGAGACCCAACCTCGCCCTTAGGAGTCTGAGGGGAGAAAACGTGGCCCTCCCCTGAGGAGCCCTGTCTGAGGAAGGTGATGCTTTTCCACCCATAACTAAAGTAAGAAACCACATTCACCAAGAAGATCCAGGCCAAGTTCTCTACCCCTGAGGCTTTAAGTGGGTTGTAGTGAGAGTCCCCAGGCTACGCACCATGCCAGGCCGGGGGTAGGGGACACGGCCCTGGTAGGACACCCACTGGTGCATGGGCCCCTCCTTGTGTGCAAAGGGTCCCAGGAAGGCCCGGCGCACATCATTCATGCTGTACATGCACACTGCGGAGCCCTGGAAGATGCCGCTGCAGGCGAAGACATGAGCAGAGTGAGGCGCTCAATGGAGCCCAGCAGGCCCTGCCCTGCTACCTTCCACCCCTCACCTGGAAGTGGAGAAGACAGCATAGAGCAGCGGGGTCCAGCGGTCCCGTGAGGACAGCAGGAACACGTCCTCTGCAGAGACAGGGTCTAGTTGGGGGAGGGCGCACAGCCCTGCAAGCCAACCAGGCTCCAGGATCTGTGCCCCTGCACTGCCCCCCCCACCCCCATCCTCCACTCTTGGCACTCACGGAGCTGGTCGAAGTGCGTGTCACCCTCAACACCAGGCACTGAGCACACCAGCCGTGCCTTCAGGAACGTTGTCCACTTGTTGACCAGGCTGCGCTGGCCACCCACGTCATTCTGTGGGGTCAATCAGAGGGGATGAGGGTGAGGCCCAGATGGGCAAAGGGGAGGGGGTGGGGTCACCAGAAGTGACCCAGGGACTCCTCACCCTGCAGATCTGGCCAACACGGGAAACAGACAGGCGTCCTAGTGCCGGCGTGGCCTCCACTGCCAACTCACGGAAGAAGAAGTAGATCTTGTCATCATCTGGGTTTTCACTCTCCGGGATCCAAAACACCTTGACGAACTTGGGCTCTGGCCACAGCAGGAAGCATGGGGTCAGTGAGGTCCTGGCCCCAAACCCCGCTCCGAGAACCTTGAGCTGCCTCCCCACTAGCTACCTCCCCTTTCTCTTGTGCCTGTGGAAGCCCCGGGGCAGCATCTGATCATCCAGCCTCCAGACCAGGTTCAGATGGTGCTCCTGGGGCTGACCCTCTGGCCGAGTGGTTAAGTTCGCGCGCTCTGCTTCGGTGGCCCAGGCTTTGGCCGGTTTGGATCCTGGGCGCAGACATGGCACCGCTCGTCAGGCCATGCTGAGGCAGCAGCCCACATGCCACAACTGGAAGGACCCACAACTAAAAATATACAATTACGTACTAGGGGGCCTTGGGGAGAAAAAGGAAAAGTAAAAATCTTAAAAAAAAAAAAAAAAAAGATGGTGCTCTGCAGGGACAGAATCCAAGGGATCAGAGCCTGCGAGTCAAGAAGCAGCCATGAGAGGGCAGCAGAGACCATGGCTACCTGGGCACACAGGCTGGGGACCCTGGCCAGTGCAGGGCCTCTCACCTCACTCCTGACAGTTCTCCAGGCCAGTGAGCCAAGAAAGGAGGGAGATGGGTTATCGCCTATACCTTCACTCGTAAGTCTTCCTCTGTATCAGGAAGCGATGCCCTCACTCCTGCTTTAGATACTCTGCTGGGTCCCATCACGCTTGGAATAAACTACCCTGGCCCCTGACAATCCAGACCCCTTATCATTACTCCCTTCATGAATCTGTTCTTTGGCTTGTTCTTGCCCCAGGGCCTTTGCACCAGTTATTCTCTCTGCCTTCAATGATCTTCCCTCAGTCTTGCTGTGCTTTGGGAATTAGCTCACACTTCTCCTCAGCAGGGTGGCTTCCTTTCCCCAACCCTCCCACCACCACCTAATCTCCTTTTCCCTTCCTCTCTTTTCTCCCATTGGTCTCCTGGCCATTGGAACTGATCTTATCATGTATTTGTTCTGAGGTCTGTGAACTCAAAGAGGGCATGGGCCATACCTGCCTTGTCTGCCCTGTGACCCTAGTGCCTAGCTCGGGGCCTGATGCATGGTGGGCACTTGGTGAGACTTGGCTGTGTCCATTGCTCACTTCTTTTATGGGCCTTGCTCAGCTCCTTCCCTGCTGGGGAGGAGGGCCCCTCTGGACAGCCCCATCAGCCTTTTACCGTTGAGCCAGCGGGAGTCGTGTGGCTCTGTTCGGAGACTCGGACGCTGACCCAGGCTGCGGAAGATGGTAAAGTCCCGTCCCATGAGGTCTGCAGCCACCCCTGAGTACAGCTCTTCCCCTGCAGACAGGGCAAGGGCTGCTTAGCCAAGCTGAAGGCTCTCAGGGTAGGGGGAGCCTGTGGAGCTCTGGGGGATCTTGGAGAGTCAAAGAGGCTAAGGGGAGGGTCCCCGAAGCTCTAGGGAGGGTCTTGGGACTTTGAGAGGTTCTAGAGTCTCTGAGGGGTTCCAGAAGTTCTGTTGGCATCCCAGACTTTGGACTCACCCACCAGCACGGAGGCAGCCCGATGCCTGGGGTCGTAAGGACTCTTGCCCTTGCCATCCTCAAGCCTTCGATGGTCCAGCCGGAGCATGGGCTCCTGGGAGGCAGCGGGGAGTTGTTCTAGCCAGGCCCTTCCTTACCCTCCCAACTCCCGTCTCTGCCAAGACCTGGCCTTACCTCCAGCCGGTGGCCCACCTCCACAAACCCACAGGTTGGGTGGAAGGCCCCTGTGCCACAGGCCAGCAGGTGGGTGCGGTTGTACGCATGCAGCAGCTTCACGAAGTTCATGCACTCAGTCTAGTGTGCAGGCAGGGGCAGGGACAATGAAGCTTCCCCCAAGGAGGCAGCCTTAAGGGGTCCCAGTTCACCAATGGCACCCCACCCCCTCTTCTCTTCCACATCAACCCAGACAAGTACCAACATGGGCTGCAGGGACCTGGGTGCCCTTGGTGACCAGCCCAGCCCACCTCTCACCAGAATGAGTGCATGGGGAGGCACATGCCTGCATTGCCCCCTATGACTCAGAGGCCCCCCAAGAAAAATCATGAGCCCCCACCCTGACTCACTACCTCCAGACTTCAGCCACCTCAACCCCTCTGCCCCCGTCCCAGCCAGAACAGGGAGGCCTCTGTTTTAGCACTGCCCTGTCTAGAGTGAGGGGCTGACCCTCCCCGCTCCCACTCCGGGCAGCCAACACTCACACCAATGTCCTTCCCCGCCCAGTTGCACTCCTCTCGCCATTCCACAGGGGCCGGCCAGGCGAGCTATAGGGAGGGTGGGGGAGGGGGAACAAGGTCAGGGACTTAGGATGTTCTCCACGCTGAGGGTGTCCACTCAGGGGGCCCATCACCCTTGGTCTCTCCAGGCAGTCTGGAGTGGGGTCCCTGGGCTCTTTCCCTGGGCAGCACTGAGGCTGGGGGTCCCTGGCACCTTCTTGACCCGCTTGCTGATGTTGTCCAGGCTGAGGGAGGCCACATGGTTCTCGGCACCCACGAACAGGCGTCCACGCTCCTCATCCACCAGCAAAGCTTCATAGCAGCAGGTCCTCTCCAGCCTGAAGGTCTGGAGACCATGCCGGGCCTGGAGCTCTGCAGGGTGGGGATTCCACTGAGGATTTGCCAGCTAAGCTGGAGGCTTCCCCCAAGTCCTCCCTGTTGTCTTTCTCACAGGCCAAGGTTGTACATGTGACCTGGCCCACACACATGTGAATTTTCACGCATGTTGAGTTTACACTTATGAAGGCAGGCCCACCCAGGTGCAAAGCTTCCAAGGTGGGCAGTGCAGCACCCCCAAGGGGAAAGCAGGTTGAGTTCCTCAGGCGTGCTCAGACAAGCAGTGTCTCCAGGTGGGCACACTGGGAGGCCAGGGTTCTAGGGGAGGCTGGGCGTGTAGGGAAAGCCAGAACTCTAACCCCAAAGTCAGACTGAGGGTTCTCTGCCACCCTGCCACCAGCCTGAGCTCAGTGCTATTCCACTGCCTAGTAACCACCCTCCTGTGTAGAGGGTGTGGGAAGGGGGCTCTAATGGCCCCTACACCTCAACTTCTCTAGGGGTAAGGGATGGGACCAAGGCAGGCTCTGTTGCCATGGGAACAGGGGTCTTCCTGGGAAAGCATGAGGAGAATGTGGGCTGAGGCCAGGACAGGGTTAATTGGAGATGGCCTGAGAGTGCCCCCAATCCAACCCAGGTCTCATGGCACACACATGGAGCAACAGCAAACACAGTACCCCCTACCCACACTGGGCCCCTTTTCTGCCCACCCTGAGCTGGGCCCTTCTGCCTGCCAGGTGCACCTACCTTGGAAGGAGAGCCGAAGGCGTGGGGGGCTGGGGGTGGCACCCCCCAGTACTGCTGCCCAGAGCAGAGCCAGGCTCGGGATCATGGCGGCGGCCTCAGCCCGCCCCATCCCAGCGGCTCAGGGTGCTCAGGGTTCAGCGGGCGTGTGCGGAGGAGCCTTGAGCCGCCCTGGACTCTGCCCCGGGATCTGGAAGAGAAGGAGTTGCAGCCAGGGCGAGGGCGGGAGGCTTGGGGGGGGGGGGGGAGTCCCCAGGGATCAGATTACGGCCCCTAGGGGAAAGAGGTTGGGGGGTCGCATTTCACTTCCGAGCTCTCCCCTCCCCTCCCTCCGGAGGGTGCCCTGCCTGGCCACAATCACAGACACACCCACGCTGGGCACACCCTCAGGGTCACCCCCCCCCCCATGCCCCGCACTGGCAGGCGCCCGCCCCACCACGTCACCCTCCCAAGGAACCCGCCCTCGCGTATCACGCTCAGAGATATTAATTCACAAACTCTGTGTGCCTACTTCATGCCAGCCTGGGACTGGGGCTGGGGACACTGGGGGACACAGACAAGGTCCCTACGGAGGAGGAAGCAGAGTGCCAATAAGGACTCAGATCTCAGATCGGAACAGTCATTTCAGAGGGCGGCAAGTGCCATGAGCAAAACAAGCCGGTCACGGGAATGGGACTAACTGGAGGGGTCAGGCCTCTGGAGGTAGTTGTGCACCCACAGGCCCAGACAAACAGAGGCACTTCTGGGACTGGAAGCAACGGTGTGGGCGCCTCTGTGAATGTGTTTCTGAGGGTCCCTTTGTGTATCTGTATTGCCTGTGTGTCTGTTGGTATGTATGTATTCACATGTGTACATGTCTACATGAGACCATGTGGCATGCATGTTGTGTTGCACATGTAGACATGTGGCTTGTGAACACACATGGCACTGTACACATGTCTATGCAGTGTGTACACATCTGTGTGTGCACTGTGTATACATATGTATATATGAATGTCATGCACATGTATGTGTGCGAATGTGTGCACATGCAAGTGTATGCATGTCTCTCTGGACATGCAGGTGAGCAAATACAACCACAGCATCAGTCATTGCCTTCAGCTCTGAGACAGTCCTGAAACCCATTTCTCAGAGGGAGAAGTGCTGCTGCCCAGGAGACCCAGGGCCTGGGCCCCTCAGGCTGGGCAGAAGCCTCAGCTGCTGACTTGGGGGCTGCTCCCACTTGGATCCAGCAGCCCAGATTCGGGCTTGACCTCTGTCTACCCACCCCAGAGGGTGGAAGGGGCTGGTCACACATAGAAATTCTGTGAACTCAGACTTCAGACCCAAGAGGATTCAAGTGGGGAGAGCCAAGGGCCTGAGGCAGCCTTTCACCCCCATCTCGGGTGAGCTACCCTTCCGTCTCTGAGCCTCCAGTCTCCCTGAGCCTCTCCCTCTTCTGCCTTCACTCTCAGGGTTTTACCATCTTTGAGCCCCTTCACCTCTCAGAGCCAGAGCCCTTCCCTGGACCTCTTAGATGGGGCCAGGCTCTGGCTGCAAAGCCCACCGTCCTTCCAAGAGCTCGCTGGGCAGGTGCTGGGCACAGGACCCCTGGCATGGGGTGCGATCAAGTAAGAGGCACAGCTGCTGGGGCATGTTCCAGACCACCACCCCCATACCCCTGCCCAGCTCCGCAGCTCCCAGCCCTCCCGTGCTAGGACTCCCACCTCCCTCCTTCCCTCTGCTGACACTTGCCGCTCCCTCTTCTGGGCCAGTGAGGTCCGCGATGCCACAAAACACTCGGCTGCCTTCCCACACTCCACCAAGAACTCCAGCAGCAGTGCCTCTGCACCCTAGCCCCTTCTCGCCCTGGAGAAGGGGAGAAGCCTAGGGGCCGCTGGGCACCCTCTCACGGCTCCTTTAAGGAGCAGCCCCCGCCCCCACCAAGCCAGCCACCGCCCCACCCGCCGTCAAGTTTATGGGGCGGGCGGATCGGGTGACGGTGACCGGGCAGGCAGCCTGACCGGCTGGAGGTGGTGTCCGGGCAAGAGTGGAGTGGGCACAAGGGAGGGGCAGGTAGGGAAGACCCCTCCCCTGTCGGGCCTCACAGCAACAGGATGCCCCAAGCAGCGGTCTTGGAAGTGGGGTGAGCAGTCAAAGCAAAGGAGGAAGAAGCAATAGAGACCCGCAGATGCAGACAGCACTATGCAGCAGGCAGAGGGAACAGCTGGGCAGGGCACTCCAGGAACTCACTTGTCCCTCCACAGCTGTGGAGCTGGGGGGGTTAACAAGGGGTTCAGCTGACACCTCAGTTCCCCGGAGCAGGCTGGGATGGGAGGGGTTCTCAACTGGAGGTCTAATGGGCCCCCAGGACCCAGCCCGAGCCCTTCCTCACCACTTGGGCCACTTAGCACTTCTGCCCCCTGGCAGTGGCTATGATGACAGCTAGTCTGGGGCAGGAAAGGAGGTCCAGAGAGGGGCAGGCGGGGCAGTCTGACTTCTGCACTGTAGGGGCTCGGCCCATCCAGAGCCTGTCCTGAGAGGTGGTCCCGCGTTTCTGATGGGAGGTGAGAGGCATTCTTTGCAATCTTTGTGACTCCAGTCTTTCTTCCTAAGTTGAAAAGCATGAGGTACCTGAGGGGCTTCACAGACAGGAGGGAGTTCCTACACCTCGGAGCATTAGCTGGGAAGGGTCTGGGGTCTCAGCCTGAAGCTGGGTCTGGTGGACACACCCTATTGGTACTGTTAGGGGAACTTCTTTGGAGGGTCTGAATGTCGACAATGGAGGAGGGGGACCCTCAGGTCCACCTGGGTGAACATACCAGGGCTAGAGGGTGGGCTTTCACTCCAATCTCCCCAAAAGGCATTCTCCCGCAAACTCCTCAAGGCTGACCAGCGGCTCCTCAGGGGTCAGTGAGCAAGGCTGTATGGGCACTTCTAGTGCTGCCCATCTCCTGCCAAGTTCCCTGGAGTAGAAGTGTCTGTGCCCAGCCAGGGTGGGGCCATGCCCCTCTTTCCTGAGCCTCAGGACCTGGTGTTCCTGGACTGGCCTGGCTGGCTGGCAGGCGAAGGGTGTGGGTCAGTGGGAGGACCAGGGGCCTTCAGGAGGGGGAGTAGAGGGATTCACCCCTGCCTGAGCTCCTGGGCTTCTAGGATGTGGCCCCTCCCTCCTCCCAGGCTCTCCCACCTTGGACCTGGGCAGCTTCCCCTGGCCCCATGCAAGCAAACAAAATTCTTCAGCTGTTTACAATTTTCCACCCAAGCAGCCAAGATCAGCAAGTGCCTTTGAGGTCCCCACCCACCCCCGCTGTGCCCCCTACCTGCCCCCACTATTTTTAGTTCTTCAGACCCAGGGTCCCAGCCTGTTTCATTCCCCCAAAGCCCTGTGTCCATACTGGAAAATAGGACCAGAGTTCCCCATAGTCTTTCCAACATCCTGGAACTCAACCCCTAGCCAGAGGGACCAGGCTCTCCCTGGCCCGCTTGAGCCCTTTGATTGCCTTCCCTCCTCCAGATGTGTCCCCTCCCTGAAGCAGGAAGGGAGATCCGCAGGGGTGGGAGGTCAAGTTGTCCCTGTCCCACAAGGTCTCCTTTCCGCTCCTCAGCCCCAGGTCCAAGTGTACGCCAGGCCCTGGGTAGTGGCCTCCCTCATGAAGTCAGCACTCTAGAAGCAGAGTCATTGGCTGTGGTTCACACTGGGCACGGAAGTCCCCAAGGATTCTAGAATCAAGCGTCCAGGGCCTGGGTCTCAAAAGAATGAGACAAACCAGGGGAGGTAGCTGGGGTCCTGGGGTCCCTACTCCTGCCTGTGCCTCTGCTCTAGGGCCACCCCAGGCTCCTGGGCCTCTACCCTTTGCCAGGGTATCCACGGGTTCTTGCCCTGCTGCTGCCTGTCAGCAGCACAGCCTGCCAAGGCCATGGTTTTTCCTTCTGGAAATAACTGGATTGTTATGCCAAGTTCCAGCACCTGCCTCCCCACCCCTCATCACCACTGGACTCTGCCTGGACTCTGTGGTGTGGCTAGGGTAGGTCATCCATCTGAGAAGGCTACAGCCAACCCTCCTAATGCCCAGCCTGGGCTGGGTCAGACCTTGGCTCCCCACTCACACCTGCTTTAGCCATCAAGTCTGTGGCTCCAAAGTCACAACCTTTCCCTATTCTGGCCACGTAGGTACTAGGACGTGCCACCCTGAGGACTCAGGGGGAGGGGGGTGGTGGGAAGTGGGCCCTGGAGAGCCTGACTGAGGTCGAACTTCCCTGACAATCTACCACCCACCCCATGGGGATCTCCCCAGAGAAAGTCTGTCGGGCACTTCCCCCAGCCACCCCCAACCTGGTCTCCATGCTCCCAGGGGACCCCTGGCCCACCTTTTTGGAAAGATCAGCTCCTCCCCTCCTTGCCTGTTCCCCTTCCCTTCTGAGGGCCCTGTCAGAGCTGAGATGGAGGGGCTGAGGGAGGGGCTACCAGGAACCCTGGGCCTCTGGCTGTGGCCCTACCCCCACCGGCTCCGCCCCTGCCCTCCGCCTCCTGCACATTCCTCCCTGGCTGAGGTCAGCCCCTCTGGGATGGGGGAGCCCCCCCCACCAGCCACATCACAGCTCTTCACTCACTCCTGTTTTCTTCATTGCCCAGCAGGGGAGGGGAGGGGGGGCTAGGAGTGGGGCCTCCCTCTCCCCTCCTTCTCCCTAGCCTGGAGGAGGGGGAGGGGAAAAGGGGAGGGCGGTACCAGGAATGCAGCGAAAGCAGACTCTGGTGGCACCCTACACTCATTAACATACATTAACATAAATGCTACATTCCCTCAATCGGCTCCAGGAGAGCCTCCCAGGAGTGCTGGCTGTGGGGCTCTGGATGCTCTCGAGGGGGTGGGCGGGAGCCTTCCCCAGGAATCAACCCCCTTAGTAGCCCAGGGAGGGGCGGGGTTGTATTCCGACTCTGCTGCCCACCGGCTGTGTGTCCCTAGGGAGAGACTGAACCTCTCAGATCACTCTTTCCTTGTCCTGCAGTTGTTAATGGTGGGCCAGGCAGGTCTGGCACACTGGGGGGGTAGTACACAGGTGTGCACTCTTGTTGCCACCTCAGCACTATGCATCCTGTGGCATCCAGGCCTGAGGGCCTCGATCGAGCAAGATCTTCACTGCTGCATCTTCCAGCCCAGCTTCATGGGGCCCTTTCTCAGGCTCTGATCCTCTCCTGTCCCCTTCCCTCCACCACACCCCTACCACCCTTCCTTCCTCGCCCCTACTGCCTCGGTCCGCAACACAATGACCTCCCCTACCCTCCACCTGAACCTCCTTCCCTCCCCAGCCCCTGGGGACTGCTCAGTCTTCTTACTCCTCCAGTAAGTTACTTCCTACCACCTCTACCTGTGCCTAAGCCCACCCACTTCCTCCCCAAGAGCCTCTATTTCAGGGAAGCCTTTTGGTTTTGTTCAAGACAGGACAAGGCCCGGCCTCCTCCCCTGTGGGGTGAAGACAGACCCCTTCCCCCGACCCCCAGGCCTTGTCCCTGCGGTGTTTCTGCCACTCCTCCTCCCAGTGCCTCCCCTCTGTAGGACCCTGCCCCCCCAGGCCCTGACTCAGCTCGCTGAAGCTATTGGCCTGGCATCCACACCACCCCTCCCTAGCTCAGCCCTGGCTGACTCTGCCAGTGCTCCAGCTACCCCATTTCTGGGAGGTGGCAGCTTTTTCTTCGCCAGGATTTTGCTTGGACTGTGCCCTCCACCTGTCAGGCCCTCCCCTTTGCCACCTGCTGGACTCTTCCTCACCATTCCCTATCCACCTCTCCAGTATCACACTTCCTCAATGAAGCCCCAGTCATGTGACACCAGGTTCAAGCCTCTCTGCAGGGCTCTGGGTCCCCAGGGCTATCATCATTGGGGGCCCCAGGACCTGGCAGAAGATAGGCACAAGGAAGCAGGAGATAGAGCACTTCTAGGAAGCCGTTCCACCTTCCTGGGCCTGCTGAGCCTCAGTGGGGATGGGGGACTGATGAGAAGGGGCACTTCAGGCCCCTCCTTGACCCTGCATTAGCCCCCTAGGCAACTCCCTCCACCCACAATGAGGTCAGAAAGCAGTCAGTGGGAAGGGATGTCAAACTGATTCTTCTCCTAAATAAGAGCACTGCGGGGCTGCATCTCCTGCAAGGGAGAAACAAAGGCAAGGAGGAGAAATGGATCCATGGCCTTGACCCCTGCCCCCTTGGACACTGGTGCCCATCACTGTGTGATTAACTGAGGAGTTGAGTGGCTGAAAGGCATGGACAGACTTGTCACACAGCTGCACACATACCTCACCTGGCTTGAGGCCCTCCTTGGGTGTGTGGTGGGGGCTGGCTTCCCTTCCGGGTGTCCAAGGGGGACTTGGGGGAACGCACAGCCCCATGGCAGGGATGAGGGCCCCTAGGATCTTTTAGGGCAACAGACACAAGGAACACAAGGATTGGGGTCAGTTGTTTGGGAGTGGGCCTGGACCCAGAACTCAGCCAAGAGAAGCTGCAGTCCTGTCCCAGCCCTCTCCCTGACTCCCAGGGCAACTAGGACCTGGCTGGCCATGCCATAGGCCAGGTGGCTGGAGTCAGGGATTGTATTCTCCAGCCTTGGGGGCTGGCTTGGCACTCTGGGTGTGTGTGTGTGTGTGGGGGGGGGGTGATTCTGAGGGGCTCTGAAGAGAATAGATTTTCCTGATGTAAGGAGGAGCCATGGGGCTGCCCTGGAACACAGTGAGGGATTCCTCCAGACCTTGGAAGCTCCTGCAGCCTCAGAGACCCCAGTTCTAATGGGACCCCCTCTTCATTCTGCACCTGGCATCTGGGCTTACACCCACCTGCTGGGGGGAGCTGGGAAGTGGTCACCTGCCTGGCTCCTACCCCCTCCCCTCTTCAGGCCTCTCTGACTCTCAGAGCTTGCCTCTTTCACTCATCCTAGCTGTTTCC